AATTTTATTAAGTTGTGTTATATAAATTAAATTAAATGAAGCATTTTTGATGTGGTCAAATCGATCTTAAATCAAAATATATAAACTTACCATAAATTAATTAACATTTTTTATTGAATTTTTAAACCAATCGATAACTAAAATGGTAAATTTAGACCCGAATACCTGCATAACCTTTAAAACTTTGTAGTTGTTCAATTACGCAAATATTCGCTTTCCTGTACTTTCGTAGTTTTGGTCTTTTTCTATTTTAACCCTGCATGCACTGAACAGTGTACAGTCACGGAAAAAAATATGCTATATTTCCAATTTTCTCAAATTTGTTGTATCTATTTTATCTTTTAATCTTTTAATCGCAATTCTGTTATTGGAAATGGTATTTTCAGTATTTTTTATAAAGAATACATTTTTTTAATAATTCTACAGATAAAACACTTGCATTCTTTTTGGTAGTGTCTGTACTTTGCAAAAGCACCGCAGCAGAGCCGAACAGCGAAGTTGTTTCAGTGGATTGGTTTTGCAGATACCGACAAAGGTGAAACGCGCGCCCCGCAACCCCAAAATGCACCCCACCGCACAAATTTTCAACGTTTCAGATTTCCGCAAACAAATGTCTATTTCACTTAACGCTGTTACGAGTTACAAGAGGAAATAATCAAGCATCTGGGGTTTATTACGGAAACAAAACAAATGAGAAACAATGAGGTTAGGTGCTTGTCAAATTGTTAACACTGTTGTCAGATGTATTTTATGATGATTTGATTAATTTTTTATCTAAAAATGTTAGAGCTTGGTGGTTTCAGGTTTATTAAAAAGGTTAGGGTCGATAAATCATATATCGAATAACGATAAAATTTGTGTTATCAGTGTTTTATGACCCCTGGCGTAAACTTGAGCGTTATTAATGATTTCGTACGTACGGGAATTCGTGGTTAATTTGCTACGAGCGATTGAAATTGCTAGGAAAAAACATTTATTTCAATTCTGCGTCCGCGAGGGTATATTGGTTGATTTCGGGGTATCTAGCAGGGATAATTGAATTCGATGTTGAGTTTACGATTCGTTATACGAACGTCGACAGGTTCCAAATTGGATTTTAGACGAAACTTTTATAGTTAACACTTAAATTAATCATAATTTTTAAGTTTAACTTTAAAATATTGATGTTTCTTTAAAAGTAGAAAATATAAAAAAAATAGTGGGTACAATTTCCTTTACGGAATTAGATAAAATTCGTATAGGTACAGTAAAAAACTTTATTTTTGGTTGTTTCACTGTTTGTCTAGAATGTGTTTTTTTGGGAAGCCACCAGGTTTAGTAATAACATAACATAAGTGGTTCTGCACTAATGCAAGAATACATACATTTTGAATATTAGATATTCACGGAGGTTAGGATTTCGTATGTTTTTTTTTTAATCCCTTTGTATATTTGAAAGTTATTGTATCTTTTGACACCTTAATATTTTTTAAAAATACAATTGTACATACATAAAATATTTATAAAAAAAATCTACTTACTGAGATATTACACTTCACGGTGGATAGGTTTTTAAATAGCAAATTAATGAACTTAAACTTTTAAATTATAAAACAGCAACACTCTCATATGCATATAAATTCTATCTGACCTTCAGGAATCACATGCATCTATAAATGGTTATAAAAAATTTTTCTTTTAATTTTTAATAATATTTTATGTTTGATTCGATTGCTTTGGATGTGTTTAATTTACTTAGTGAACTGATATTTTTAGTATGCTTTTACTACCTCAGATATTTGAAAACATATAGGTTAACCTAGAAAGAGTAACAGTCACAGATTTTAGACTTTTAAAACATTGTAAAAAATAATGAATTGCGGTTAAAAATCTGGAACCTGAGCTGTAATATCTACTTAACTATGAAAGATCAAAACACAATAAAAGTGTAGGTCAAACTCATTTAGTTTTATTAAATATTATTAATACATACGTGTATGGACCCTGTATAAATGCCATAAATTGAAGATGTCTTTCACACGCGCTCCTAAACCAACAAAAACCGCAAAAAAATATTAAAACTCGCGGAATTTTTCGAAATGCACTGTGCACCAAACAAATATTTTAGATGGTAAACTACAAAAAACAGTTATTTTTATTATGAGTATTTAGACGCTAATTACCCAGACCGCAAAATCACATTCCCTGCACATGTCAGGAATATTCCCAGGAATATTCCAATCGTCCCAGAATATTCCCAGGAATATTCCTGGCATAATCAAATGTCCGCTTTTTGATTAACCCAGGCATCATAAAAAGAATATTCCATATATCTGCCTGCAGAAGACTCAAGGATTGTTAGGGGAATATTCCTTGATATAATTTGGGGATTATTCCCAGCCCTTATTGCCTCTTATAACCAGGAACTTAACTTAAGTATAGCCATTATTGAGTTACTGAGTAGATCAGTCCCACTCTAATCATTGTTTGGCTGTGCCATCACAGACGCACATCTCCAACTAATATTATTAACATATCGGTATATATAGTTATCAAGCGTGCGTAAGCAACGGTGAGAGGTATTGCAACTAAACTAATGAATATTCACTGGGAATATTCTTAGATGATGCTTGGAAGTTTTAGAGGATCATTCTAGGAATATTCCCAATGAATATTCCTAGAATAAAGCGGATTATTCCTAGGCGATAGGAAATATTCCTGGAATATTTTCGAACCTTCATTGCAGTCTGGGTAAGGCGCTAAAAACAAAACAAAATCGACGAAAAATTAAAAATAAACTTTGTTAATAACGCTGAAAGAGCAAAAATATTTATTTTTTCTATCCAACCAAATCTAATTTTTTTCCCAATGTGCGCAAAGTTTTTTCCGGAAATTTTTGCATGAACCTGCGGATGGTGCGGTACCATTTGATGTAGCGGCGGTCAATCCCTAATTAAAGTAATTCCACGTAACCAATTAGATAATGAAAAATCGCTAATTACGGCCTTGCAGAAAAAAAATGCAGCCGGCGCTTACATTACTATATAAATTTTTTAAATTGTGAGCCATATTTTCCGTCAACTAAATTTTCCCGGTTAAAATCAAACACCCTGTATATTAAACCCTACGAAATTGTTTTATGAAGTTTGCGTTTGAAAGCACAATAACATTAATAAGTAGGTTGTGACGCAACAGCAACGCATTTGAGTTTGGTGACGTCAAAAACAGACTGGCCAAGACGTTAGACTAATTTAATATAAAATTTTAATAAATCTGGACCGTCTAATTAATAATACTAAGAATAGACAAGAGCGAAAGCTATTTCTGCTTTATGTGTCCCGTCTGTAATACTTATTAAGTAAACCTACTATTAAAATATGAAATCTGCTGCTATAAAAAAATGCATTTTGTATTTCGATACCTACCTTACTTTTTTGTATAAAAATATTCACAAATCATTATGTTATGTTGGTATGTTTTTGTATTTTAAAACGGTTGTATCCGGCTAAATTAAATTGAAAAGCACGAAAATAATGATAGGAAGTCATGTTCTATATCGTTAAATCTAGGTACATCTATTTATTTAAACCGATGCCCAATACAATAAAACAGATTTTATCTGGCGTTTCGTGTCTGGTTTCGAGTAAAAGATTATTGAAGTTGCTAATACCACACGGGTTATGGACATTCATTAAAATGTAGTGCAAATCGTTTTTTAGTGAATTATTAAAACTCTTAAAAATTGACATTGATGCATGAACTTCTTGAAGTAGTTTTTTCTATAACCTATAAGTCGTTTTGGAGGTTGAATGAACGTCTGCGGCGGTTTTCATTATGTCGGGGGCGGCCATAAATTCTCCCCCCATTTTGTGTGCATTACTCATAAACCGCCACCAGAAACTAAACGGTTATGTTGGAATTGAAATGCAGATTCACTTTAAATGGTTTTGTTAATTTTTTTTCGTTTTTACTAAATTCTATATGTGTGAATCTCACGAAATGTCCCCCGATGGTGTTACCCCGTGATATTTAATAAAACTAAATGAGTTTGACCTACACTTTTACTGTGTTTTGATCTTTCATAATTAAGTAGATATTACAGCTCATGAGCAGGTTCCACATTTTTAAACGCAATTAATTATTTTTTACAATGTTAAAAAGTCTAAAACCTATCCTCCGTGACTGTTACTCTTTCTAGGTTAACCTATATGTTTTCAAATATCTGAGGTAGTAAAAGCATACTAAAAATATCAGTTCACTAAGTAAATTAAACACATCCAAAGCAATCGAATCAAATATAAAATATTATTAAAAATTAAAAGAAATAATTTTTATAGCTATTTATGTAGGTGTTACAAAAATTGATTCTATCCTCCGTGAATCTGTTTTTGTTTTAAATTTTATGCAACGGATGGCGCTTTAATCATTTTAAATAAGCAAAATCCTCTGTTTACGACATTATAGATGCATGCATGCATGTGATTCCTGAAGGTCAGTTAGAATTTATATGCAGATGAGAGTGTTGCTGTTTTATAATTCAAAAGTTTAAGTTCATTAATTTGCTATTTAAAAACCTATCCACCGTGAAGTGTAATATCTCAGTACGTAGATTTTTTTTATTAATATTTTATGCATGTACAATGGTATTTTTTTTAAATATTACGGTTTCAAAAGATACAATAACTTATTTCAAATATACAAAGAATATTATTATGCTACAACAAATATGGACAAATCATAACAACCCTACTATGACAAAATAATTTACTATACTAATTAAGACCGTTAGACACAGAAAAAATATATGTATTTCATTATTTTCAGAAAATAAGAAGAAATTTACATTAAATTGAGAAACATAACCTTACATATTCGAATGCATTCCTTATTTAAATGTCAGTAGGATTTTTTATGGTGAACAGTACATATTTTAATGTTTTAACAATTTTTTATGATTTTATAATATACCTACCAATTCAGTTATTAAAAAATAGACTAATTAAATTGTTATTTTGTTACAGATTTTTAAGTCTTCAACCGTCCAAAAGGAAAATCAAAAGAAATGAGTTAAAAAGTCGCACAAAATCAAACCAAAAAGAAAAACCTTGAAAAATGACTGTATCTGGAAAGTTATGCAGACGTATGTCCCCGAAAGGCTTCGCCTTAACGGGAATAGGCCTCACAGTCCTCCTGTGCATTTATTACACGAGTTACACGTCGGACGTGTCGAAGTTGCCTAACCAGAACGCCGAGAGGGGGGCGGACCCCAAGGCGCAGCGATTGGTGGGGGCGAAGAGGAGAATTTACCAGAAAAAGGACTACGAAGTGTGTCCGAAGCTGAACGCAGCTGAAACCGACGTCAATACGGTGGAGGTGTTCAAAGACTTCGAGTTTCAGGTAAGAAGTCTTAATTTGGGTTTTAATAACCTAGGCAAGCCAGTTTACACGTGGATGTAATACTGGTTGCGTTTTTGCCATTTCATTCATTAAGAATTGATTTATACAAATATCGACAAAACAATCTGATTTATTCAATAAACAATATATGCAAAAATAAAGTTTTGCAATTATATTGAAAATTCTTTGTCTCTAGATGCTCCAATTACTTAACCAACTCGTTTATCTAGAACCTTAATAATAATAAAACTTTCACAAAATTTAAATTCTAATCGGTTTAACCTATATTACGCAAATCATGAACTGCAAAAGAAAACTTTATTTTCCCATAATTTTATATATAAAAAACACGTTACATACTATACTTTTTTCTTACTTTTATTCACAAAGTAAAACAATTTTATATAAAAAATAGGTTTTTAAGTACAATAATAATAATTTGTTTAAAATGAAAATCGTTGGAAACAGAAAGTTTTTATTTTCAATTTCACATAAATCATGAATGTAATCACCTACATACACATAATATAATACGAAATGGAAATTTATAGCCTTATTGTTAGTGGCACTGAGTTCAGATATTGAAAAGGAAATCTAAATAAAATAACAGCAATTGCATCTATAGATTGTTTACGAAATGGATTGGAAAAAATTGGTAACAATTCTTACTAAGGCGTTGAAAAAAAATATATGGTAAAAACCAGTTTTTGCAAATGTCTACAAAAAAAATGTTCTAGATGGATTCAATCCCATTATGGAGTTGTTTTAACGTAATATTTGTTTTAAAAATTGATGAGCGGATTACACAATGTTTACCATAAGATTATACATAATATATTATATTAAATTTACATATTTGCCCCAATTTTTGTATTGGGTATTATTCAAAAAAAAAGTACGCGATTCAAACATTTTTATTTCCGAAAAAATATTTTTTATTTTAATAAAAATTATTTTAAAAATGCTTTTAATGAAATAATGGTTTGACCTTGAAAAGAAATATTTTGAGAAAGTTATATGTACATTTCTTCTATAAACAGTTTTTAATTTTATCAAAACCCCAAAAGTCTTTCATTCGACTAAAAATAGGTAGATTGTTTCATATTTGTAATAGATGGCGCTGTAATGAAAAAAAAAATTGTTCGATTTTTCTTTTTATACCATTCTGTAACAGTGGCGGCTGGTGGATTTTAAGTATACCAATATCTCAGTTATTAGACATGGGACCCACACCAAATTTATAATAGTTTATATTGACATTAAATAAACAAGTTCGGCGCAAACAGAATTTAAATTGAAGTGTGCGAAAAAAAGTTAGTTTTTCCTGTCGCCTACCCTGCCTCCAGGCCCCCCTATTTGAGATAATTCAAATTAAAGTGGTGCAATTTATTATCCACTATAATTTATCGACAAATTTAAAATTTTATTTAAAAAATCCAAATATTACAGTTTTTATACCATTTTAAATATTTTTTTATTTTAATAAAATAAATAATAAAAATTTAAAATCGAATAAAATCTGTAATATTTGGATTTTTTTAATAAAATTTTAAATTTGTCGATAAATTATAGTGTATAATAAATTGCACCACTTTAATTTGAATTATCTCAAATAGGGGGGCCTGGAGGCAGGGTAGGCGACAGGAAAAACTAACTTTTTTTCGCAAACTTCAATTTAAATTCTGTTTGCGCCGAACTTGTTTATTTAATGTCAATATAAACTATTATAAATTTGGTGTGGGTCCCATGTCTAATAACTGAGATATTGGTATACTTAAAATCCACCAGCCGCCACTGTTCTGTAATAATTATCTTATTAAATTAAATCTGATTTTTTTTTGTAGCCACGATTTTTTAACTAATATTTAAGTTTCCTTTGGTTTAAGTTTTATAAATTATTTTATTCGGTGATAATTATCAATTGCGCACCATGGTCACTTTTTACCTGCCCTTTAATTTAAAGGATTATTGTGCTATTTTTAATAAAAATACCTAATTTAAGGTAAAAAAAACATTATTTTGTTAATTAATTAATTTAATCCTAATTGAGGTATAAAAAAATTGTATTTAGTTATAAATAATAATTATTATTGAGGTATGAAGAAACTATTTATGGTTTGGTGTTATTTAATCAATTTAGTTTGAAGATAAATTTGCAAAATTCATAATGGATTTTTTAACAATACAAGAAAAAATAGAAATGATTTTGATTTATGGAGAAGCAGGCAGGAATCCTGATGATGCTGTTAATATCTACGCTCAGCGTTTTCCAGATAAAATTCGATCACGTACTTCATTTCACCGTACAGTCGAGCAGTTTTCTACAAACGGGAGTGTTCAACCGAAAAAAAGAGTTCGTCGAAGTATTTTATTCAAAAATTATTGGAGAATCGTATACAGAAAAAAATTGATTTTTTTTCATTACAGCGCCATCTATTACAAATAAAAAAAATGTTTTAGATAAAATCTACCTATTTTTAGTCGAATGATCTGAAAAATTAACATTGTAAATTATACACATTCCAAAAGACGACTTTTAAAGGGGATATAACCTTATGAATAAATTTTATTTTATCGATCATTTTTGAACAAAAATGTTCTCAACTAAAATTGTGTATCCGGGCTTGGATTCGCGGCACCTCCGGTGATAAAAATTGCACACCCGTCAAATAAATTCACTTTTATTTTTATTACAAACGTCTACCTTTTGCTCTTTCGACTTCCATTTCGAATTCTAAAGGTGTATATCCCTCTAAAAATTGCTTCCGCCCTGAAGTGTATCCCTTGAAGAGTCACTACTGACAAGATGACATCTTGTATTATGTATATGTACAGGGTGATTGCATGTTTTTAAATTATTTATTTTTATACAAAACGAAATATTAATATAGTACCTACTCTAATATTTTTTTAGCCAGCTTGGATGAAAAGCAAAGAATATTGGGACAAAACATTCGAAGATCGATTTGAAAGGCAAAAAATGGATGCAGACAGGCCGCCATTAAAGGTAAAAATAAATTGTGAAAATAAAAACAAAATTGTCATAAAAATGCAATAATTCAAAATAATTAGCAAAACAAATATGATAACAATATCTTTTTTAATGGTACAAGTATTATACCTAATTGGGCAATACAAAATATTTTTTTTATCAGACATCATTAATATAATAACGAATTGATAACGTTTTTTTTTAAATATTTGCGTCACTTTTGAATATAAAAAGCGTTAACATAAAAAAATATATTGGCAATTTTAACGCCATCTATCTTTTTAGAATCTAAACACAGAAAGTTTTGCCCATATAGTTATGTTGAAAATTTTAAGGTTTGCTTTTTTTTGTTTTAACACTTTTTGTGGAAAATGGGAAACAAAATAAAACAAATTATACAGGGTGTTTCATAATATATGCGCAGGACTTCAGGATGTGATAGCTCATCCAAAAAGATGAAAAAAGTCGCTATTAACTTACGCTCTAAAATGCACAATTTTCAAGATACAGGGTGTTGAAATTTTAGAAAAAAATTCGTTTTTTTCGAATATCTCCGGAACCGTTTATCGTACAAAAAACAGCTTTTGTAAGCATTTTCTACTCAAAATAAGCTATGTTTTGTGCCAGAAAAATTTTTTTTTTCTCATAATTGGTGGAGATTTTGAAGGGGTAGCGGGTGTTTTTCTCCTCAACTTCTACGCCCCTGAAAAAAGTACGGTTTTGAGAGGCCCATTCGGACCGCCAATGTTTTCTACACAAAAAAGGTAATCTTGGCCATAAGCTCTAAAGTTGACCGTTTTCGAGAAAAATCAACTTTTATGTTTAAAAACTAGGTCAATTTAAAAAAAAAATATTTTTTTTTTACTAATTAAACAAAATTTATTTTAACGTTAGAACAAGTAACAAAACCAAACCATAATTGCAAAATAAAAAATAATTCAAAAGTTGTCTTTGCTAAATTCTCCAAACCGTAAAGGTAACGCATTTTGCACATTTCAGCATTTGTGTAAAAAATCATTTTTTATTTTTTTTTGTAATTTTGCAATTATCGTTTGGTTTTGTTACTTTTTCTAACGTTAAAATAAATTTTGTTTAATTAGTTCAAAAATTTCAAAAAATTGACCATGTTTTTAAACATAAAAGTTGATTTTTCTCGAAAACGGTCAACTTTAGTGCTTATGACCAAGAGTACCTTTTTTGTGCAGAAAACATTGGCGGTTCAAATGGGCTTCTCAAAACCGTACTTTTTTAGGGGCGGTGAAGTTGAGGAGAAAAATACCCGCTACCCCTTCAAAATCTCCACCAATTATGAGTAAAAAAAATTTTTTTCTGGCACAAAACATAGCTTATTATGAGTAGATATTGCTTACAAAAGCTGTTTTTTTGTACGATAAACGGTTCCAGAGATAATTGAAAAAAACGATTTTTTTTATAAAATTTCAACACCCTGTATCTCGAAATTTTTGCATTTTAGAGGGTAAGTTAATAGCGACTTTTTTCATCTTTTTGGCTAAGCTATCACATCCTGAAGTCCTGCGCATATATTATGAAACACCCTGTATAAAAGTTGGAATTTCCTTGATGTTAATACAAAATGTTATTTATAAGTTTTGATTAAGGATTGAAGAGTGAGGACTGGACTGGAACTTTCCTTATTGTATTTTAGAAAAATATTTATGAAAAAATATTATATAAATGTTAAGATAAGTAATGGATGCCATCTTAAAAACTCATTATTTTTAAAAAAGTTTTATTTTTCACTTTAAGCTTATTTTTCCTTTTTTTAGTCAATATTAATAGTATTTATTACCAATAACAACCCTAAAAAATACCAGGCGAATAGAAAATATTTACGGTTATAAAGTGGTCTTAATTTCGTAAAATTATGACTTATGAGTAACATTTACCATTAAGTAAAAATTCTGACGTTAAAATTACCGTTAAATTTTCCTTTAGGTGAAATACACTTATAAGTAATTTTCTTTCGTAAAAATTACGTCCCTCATAATACTTTAAGGTGTTGAAACTTAAGGGTTATTAAAATAGGTAAAAATAACAAAAATAAAACTTATTAAATAACTTTAAAAAAAGTTTTACTGCAAAGTAAAATTTTTAAGGTTAATTTACCAAAATATTTACTTAACAAAGACTTATGTCTATGAATGACACTAAAAAATAAAAATCTTTTTTAGTATAATACAATTGTGTGCCATATAAATTCATACCTATATAGAGTCTATAGACTGAAACTTAGAGGACAATAAACTTACTTGACGCGAAGCATCATACATTATTTTATTAAAGTAATAAATAATATTAAGCGACGTGGGCGTTAAAATAACTAGGTACTTAACATGTACACTGCTCCGTCAAACATAACTCTCTCCATTTAATGTTTTCTTAAGCGCAAATTCCTAGAAACAGGTTTTAAAAATACGATTTTTTGCTCCATACTTGCGCTTCCCTAAATTCCGGTATTTTTCGTAAATCTTGCAACACTGCATTGGGGGACACATCCACTGGGTTGGCCATGACACACAGGCCCACGCGATCGTCTGCTAAAAACAATTTACACGTCCCATGAGTCACTTATGTAAACATAAATAAATGTCTTTTAGAACTAGTTTTATGTAGAAACAAAATATGGAGCAAACTTATTTCCCTGTTGGATTATTCCTGCTGGATAGTAAATCATTTTGGGGTGTTTTATTGTGTGTCGGATAAATGGCTTTGTCGCTGCACCTTTATAATTTATTGTGTATTAGGGACATTAGTGGACAGCCCTGATCAACTAGCTCATTTCATGAAATTTATAAATTTTTTTATATAAAAAACGCAGTATCTCATTGGCTTTCTTTAGGTTATTATAGTTCCTCATTCCCACAACGACCCGGGTTGGTTGAAAACTTTCGAGCAATACTTCCAATATTCCTCGAAGCAGATTATGAACAACATGGTGTCGAAGTTGCAGCAGTACAAAAACCTGACGTTCATTTGGTCGGAGATTTCGTTTCTGAACGCGTGGTGGGAGGAAGCCCACCCGAGCAAGCAGAGAGCCCTAAAAAATTTGGTGCATTCCGGGAGGTTGGAAATCACCACCGGCGGTTGGGTGATGACGGACGAGGCTAACGCTCATCTGTATGCCATGGTGGACCAGCTAATAGAAGGTAAGGTCCTTTTACTTAAAAATTGTTTCTACTTAAGTTGGCAACACATGGGAAACTTTCTTATTATTAATTTTACGAAGAAAAGTTATTCTTTATGAAACGTTCGGCATGTTCTAAAATCTAAAATAAAATCATCAGATATCAAATTTTTTTACTCATATACGAGGTTTGACAAAAAATATGAATTTGGTACAAGAGTAAAGTACCTTTATTTATGACAATATCGAAAACTGCCATTATGAAAAGTTGTTCGGAATGAAAAACTATGTTTTAATATGCAATTACATCCATCTACTTAAAAAATTATTTCTACTTAAGTTGGCAACATATGGGAAACTTTTTTATTATTAATTTTACGAAGAAAAGTTATTCTTTATAAAAAGTTCTGCATGCTTTAAAATCTAAAATAAAATCATCAGATATTAAATTTTTTAGTCATATACGAGGTTTGATAAAAAATATGAATTTGGTACACGAGTAAACTACCTTTATTTGTGACAATATCGAAAACTGTAATTATGAAAAGTTGTTCGGAATGAAAAACTATGTTTTAATATGCAATTACATCCTTCCACTAAAAAAATTGTTTCTACTTAAGTTGGCAACATATGGGAAACTTTCTTATTATTAATTTTACGAAGAAAAGTTATTCCTTTTAAAAAGTTCTGCATGTTCTAACATTTAAAATTAAATCATCAGATATCAATTTTTTTCAGTCATATACGAGGTTTGACAAAAAATATGAATTTGGTACACGAGTAAAGTACCTTTATTTGTGACAATATCGAAAACTGTAATTATGAAAAGTTGTTCGGAATGAAAAACTATGTTTTAATATGCAATTACATCCTTCCACTTAAAAAAATGTTTCTACTTAAGTTGGCAACATATGGGAAACTTTCTTATTATTAATTTTACGAAGAAAAGTTATTCTTTATAAAAAGTTCTGCATGTTCTAAAATCTAAAATAAAATCATCAGATATCAAATTTTTTCAGTCATACGAAGTTTGACAAAAAATATGATTTTTTTACAAGAGTAAAGTACCTTTATTTGTGACAATATCGAAAACCGTAATTATGAAAAGTTGTTCGGAATCAAAAACTATGTTTTAATATGCAATAACATCCTTCTACTTAAAAAATTGTTTCTACTTAAGTTGGCAACATATGGGAAACTTTTTTATTATTAATTTTACGAAGAAAAGTTATTCTTTATAAAAAGTTCTGCATGTTCTAAAATTTAAAATAAAATCATCAGATATTAAATTTTTTTAGTCATATACGAGGTTTGACAAAAAATACGAATTTGGTACACGAGTAAAGTACCTTTATTTGTGACAATATCGAAAACTGTAATTATTAAAAGTTGTTCGGAATGAAAAACTATGTTTTAATATGCAATCACATCCTTCCACTTAAAAAAATGTTTCTACTTAAGTTGGCAACATATGGGAAACTTTCTTATTATTAATTTTACGAAGAAAAGTTATTCTTTATAAAACTTTCTGCATGTTCTAAAATCTAAAATAAAATCATCAGATATTAATTTTTTTAGTAATATAAGAGGTTTGACAAAAAATATGAATTTGGTACAAGAGTAAAGTACCTTTATTTGTGACAATATCGAAAACTGTAATTATTAAAAGTTGTTCGGAATGAAAAACTATGTTTAAATATGCAATTACATCCTTCTACTTAAAAAAATGTTTCTACTTAAGTTGGCAACATATGGGAAACTTTCTTATTATTAATTTTACGAATAAAACGTTCTGCATGTTCTAAAATGACTTGCTGTTTTAGGTCATCAATGGTTGTGGACGAATCTAGGCGTCAAACCCAAATCTGGGTGGTCCGTGGACCCATTTGGTCACGGTAGTACAGTCCCGTACCTTCTATCAGCGTCTGGTATTAAGGGTACAGTGATACAAAGAATTCACTATGCTTGGAAGCAATGGTTGGCATTTAAACAATACGGCGACTTTAAGTGGGTGCCAAATTGGTCTCTGAACGATAATTATGGTAGTATTTTGACCCACAATCAACCATTTGATATATATAGCATAAAACATAGCTGCGGGCCGCATCCCTACATTTGTTTGAATTTCGACTTCAGAAAAGTGCAAGGGGAATACACTGAGTATTCTCTGAAAGCCCAGGCCATTACAGATAAAAATATCAAGGAGAAATCTGAGTTGTTATTGGAGCAGTATGCAAGAACTGGATCCTTGTTTCCGCATAACGTTGTTTTGATGCCTTTGGGGGATGATTTCCGTTACAACGTTGAAGAAGAGTGGGATCAACAATACGTCAACTATGAGAAGTTGATCAACTACATCAATAGCCACAAGGATTTGTACAAGGCTGAGGTAAGGTCCACTAGGTAGTTAGGTTTAAAAAATAACATTAAATTTTCCGGTAGGTGTCATTTGGAACTCCAGCGGACTATTTCGACGAAATAACTAAAAGATACGACCAATTTCCGACAATCAGGGGGGATTTTTTCGTGTACTCCGATATCTTTGCCGAAGGACGGCCTGCCTATTGGTCCGGGTATTTTACTACTAGACCGTTCATGAAGCTGTTGGATAGGGAGCTAGAATACACCCTTAGAGGCGCTGAGGTGCTATACACGGTAGCTCTGAACAACGCGAAGCAAAACAAGTTGCTGCCGCACTTAAAAATTCTCGAGAGGGATTTTGAAAAGTTGGTTCGCGCTAGGAGAAATTTAGGGTTGTTTCAGCACCATGATGCTATAACTGGGACGAGTAAATCTTTCGTGATGAGGGATTACGGTTTGAAACTCTTTGAAGGTATCAGAGACGCGGTTAGTATACAACAAAACGCGCTGCAGAGTTTGGTGTTTCCACATATCATCATGAAACCGAACCAGAACTTGATCCTCAGCGATATAGAGCGCGAATCGTACGAAAAGTTGCCGAAGAAGTCCACAATACAACTGGCAAGCACCACAAACAGTTTGAGAAAAGTTGTACTGTACAACAGTTTATCCCAAATGCAGGAACAAGTGGTGCAAGTGCGGGTGAATACGAGCAAAGTAAGGGTGGTGGACAGCGATGGGAACCCTGTGGTGTACCAAGTGAACCCCGTCTGGGAATCACTTGAAAACAACAATAATTTCTGGATTTCCGCCGATGAGTTTGAGGTGGCGTTTCTGGCCAAATTACAACCCCTAACTGTGACGATTTACAGTATAATTTATAGTGAAGGGGTGCAGGAAAAAATGTCCACCATTTACTGCAATAAATGCAAGAGAAAGACCGCTACAGTCGGGAGTATACAGTCGAACTTCACCATTAAAAGCATCCCGCTGGGTGACGTTCAGCTAGAGAATCACAAGTTCAAATTGCTGTTCAACGGCAACACGGGCTTCATGAAGACTATAACGCGCAAGCACAGGCCGAAAATAATGCAGTGCGCGATACAATTCGCCGCGTACAGATCCGCGCAGTTCCACTCGGGCGCCTATTTGTTCATGCCTGATCCGAACGAGAAAGACTACGAAAAAGACGTTCTGGAGCAGTACAAAAAGCAGATTTCGGTTATTATAACAACAGGGCCTCTCAGCAGCGAGTTGTCGATCGTTTACGGCCCCTTCTTGGTGCACAGCGTTGCCATTTACCACGTGGAAAACAGTAGTTTAAGCGACGCGATTCAGATTGAGAATACCGTCGATTTTGAGAACACGCCGAAAAACCGCGAGACCGAGTTGTTCATGCGGATAATATCCGACGTTCAGAACAACGAACCGCCGGAGTTCTACACGGATTTGAACGGGTTCAGCACGCAGAAGCGCGTCAAAGTGGAGAGGATCGGTTTGGAGGGAAACTACTTCCCCATCACCACAATGGCGTACATACAGGACGAGAATGTGAGGTTGAGTTTGCTGACCAATCACGCGCAAGGCGCCGCGAGCTGGCAACCCGGCTATTTGGAGGTTATGTTGGACCGGAGGACTCTCTACGACGATTCCAGAGGGATGGGCGAGGGGCTGGTAGACAACAGAAAAACCGTGTCCAGATACTTTTTGCTGATAGAGGATGTAACGCAAATCGTAGAAAAAAAAACGCCTTTGACGAAACGCTTCGATAACTCCGATGATACCTACGAGAAGGGGGAGGTTTTTCGGTCGTTCAACGTACCCACCGAAAATTCTGAAACCGCCAAGTCGGAGTCGTACTCGCGGCCCTCTTTGTACAGCAACCACCTGTCGAATCTTCTGAACCACCCGGCCGGTGTTTTCATCGTAGACTCCGAATACCACGACAACCTCAACGCGTCTTTTAAAATTCTCAACAAGCCCCTCCCCTGCGACGTTCACTTGTTGACGCTGCGCACTCAGCCGGATTCGGTGTACGCGCAGTACCCCTCGTCCAACGCCCTCATGATTTTCCACAGGCAAGGCTACGACTGCGGGGTGAGCGCGAACTTCACTTGTTCCTCGACGAAGTTCCTCGAAAACACCCACTTCGATTTTGTCGCCGTCAAAGAGATGGAGCTGAAGTCGCTGACGGGGGTCGACAGCGTTGCCGCTGTCAACAACATTGCCGACTTGTATTTGGAACCGATGTCGTTGAAAACTTTAAATGTGACTTTTGGTTGATTGTGATTCCTTTTTTAAATTAGCGTGGACTCGATAAAATTAATTAATTAAATTGTAGATATTTGTATATAGTCAGTATTTAAGGTTTTAGATATTTATATGTATATGTGACGATTTTATTGCAATTGTAATGACAAAGGTGTAGATTTTTTATTTTTGATTGTTTTATACTTTTACAAGCACTGATTTTATGTTGAAGTATGACTATAAGATGGACAATTGTGAAATTTTATAATTTAATATTCCAATTTTTATTTATTAATAAAAAATACATATTTTATTTGTAGTTTTTTTATACCCAAATAAATCCAGTAGTTTAAAATTGCCACCAAGAGAATGAATTGGACGGAAACTGGCTAACGGATTATAAAACTAATTCAAAATACATATAAAAAAAGTTAAAAATCCTAAAAAATGCAGTCTCTGTGGAATAATAATTATTGCAAAATTCGTATAGAAAACGCACGTGAGCCCGCACGTGCGCCCACACGTGCGCCTTCACGTGCGCCTTCACGTGTGCCCGCACGTGCGCCTTCACGTGCGCCCGCACGTGCGCCTTCACGTGCGCCCGCACGTGCGCCTTCACGTGCGCCCGCACGTGCGCCTTCACGTGCGCCCGCACGTGCGCCTTCACGTGCGCCCGCACGTGCGCCTTCACGTGCGCCCGCACGTGCGCCTTCACGTGCGCCCGCACGTGCGCCTTCACGTGCGCCCGCACGTGCGCCTTCACGTGCGCCCGCACGTGCGCCTTCACGTGCGCCCGCACGTGCGCCTTCACGTGCGCCCGCACGTGCGCCTTCACGTGCGCCCGCACGTGCGCCTTCACGTGCGCCCGCACGTGCGCCTTCACGTGCGCCCGCACGTGCGCCCGCACGTGCGCCTTCACGTGCGCCCGCACGTGCGCCCGCACGTGCGCCTTCACGTGCGCCCGCACGTGCGCCTTCACGTGCGCCCGCACGTGCGCCTTCACGTGCGCCTTCACGTGCGCCTTCACGTGCGCCCGCACGTGCGCCTTCACGTGCGCCTTCACGTGCGCCCGCACGTGCGCCTTCACGTGCGCCCTCAAGTAAGCCTTCACATCCGTGCACATGTGCATTTGGAATTCTGTAAAAAAAAGTGGTAAAAATCCTTATTTTAATCCCTACAGTCCATGTGGGATACAAAAAATTGCAAAATACATATGAAAATGCTTAACGCAACCCACATTACATAACATGTTGCTTGGTTGCCTAGGATTAATAATTTTTTATCTATACTACTCGTACCGTTGAGTAAAGAAGTTCTTTAGTCAATGCTAGTACTATAATTAAAAGGAAGGCTTGGGTAACCCAAGTTGGTTCACTACAGTACACAAAATGTCAGTGTTTTATGTAACAAGTTGTTAACTAACAAACAATGACAGTTTTTAATAAACAATTAACAGCTGTTTAAATACATAATGTAATTTTTGGGATGTTGATATATCAACATCCTATAAATTACAATGTACCTATAGGTACATTGTATACAGACCAGAGAAATTTCTCTGATACAGACAGGTTGATTTATTATATAGTTTTTGACAATATTTAGGTTATTTTTCATTGTTATTTCGTGTCATCCTGAAACATCATTCATTCATTAATTTTACCAGAATAATTCTTTAACAAGTAAGTAAATATTAAATTATGAAATTTATAAGTTTATAGAAAATCTTGGGCTTTGTGTGGGAAAAAAAATTAGCACCATTCAGAAATTTACTTACAAGACCTTTTCTTCCTCAGATTTCTATAATGCCAAATTTTACAGTACATAAGTCTTCAAGCACTCGAATATATCCGCATTTAACTTACATCGACGATGGCTGCAATACAGAATATGAAACGTACCCTTGTCCAACTTACCCATGTGGTCCGCAATATTTCCCTAGGTATCCCAATTCGTATCCCCTGTGTCCTCCACAATGCGACAAGTATACGTGCCCCGATTATGAATGGAAGAGACGGCCCAGTATATTCAACGTGCAACATTTGAGCACATACCCAAAATATCCCAAAATAATAATGACAGACAATTGTACAAATACTTTCGGAAGAAAATATTTCACAGTACCGAATCAATATGACAATTGCTGTAATACAGACTGCGACATGTACCCTTGCCCAGATTACCCATTCGGACCGAGATATTTTCCTAGATATCGGAATTCCTATCCCGCGTGTTCTCCACAATACGATATGTGCGATTATATGTATCCTGAGTGCGATAAGAGGAGACGACCATGCAACGTAAAATGCCCGGATGATTTAATACCTGTAAAACTCATTCCCAAGTCCATGGTTAAAGGAAAGAAATGGTTGGGCTCGATGTGTTTGTAAGCCAAGGGTAAGTGATCTCGGTTGCCTACATACATTCGAACAAACAGGGCATAAATAGTAATACCGTTGATTGGGAAACTTTAGTCAATGGTACTACTATTATAGTAGCGTTGCTTTTATTGGCTGCTTTAAAAACCTAATAATTCCTGCAATTTTTTGAATTTCAAAATTTTGGGACATTCCTTTATTATAATTACTAATTATATTGGTAAATGTTTTTTATAAACTATTATCTAGTTTACAATTAATTGTCGTTTTCAGGTATACTATAGTTGCAGTTTGATACAGGGACGAACTAGAAAATATTATGAGAGGGTTACAAACTACCTTAAAAAATGTATAATAAAATGATGGTAATATACAATGAAATTTTAATTTTGTTTTTCTATGTTGAAATATGTTATTTTTAGTAATATAATTTTACAAATTTGATAATGTAAATAATTTCTTATGTTGGTATTACAAATCATTCAAAATTATTTAAATTTGGTTACCAAAAATTTTTCTTGCAAAAAATAAATAAAAACTTACTATATTATAAATATATAATTATTAATATATTAATATATTTATAAATACAAAAGTTTTATGCCCTTAAAGCTCTAATACCCTTCTGTATTTATTTACTCATCCAGCTATTAGCTTAAGCAATGATTAGAAAATTTAGTACCTATTTTAAAAACTTCATAACCACAAAATTAATTTTTTCATTAGTTTTTTCTTTATGTTTATTTAGATGAAATTAGGACAAGTTAAAATTTGAAAGGAATGCACTAGATTCTGACATAGTTGCCAGATTTTGTTTGAATTTACCTTCATTATAAAAATGAAATAAACAATTAATAAAAACGCCAAATTAACAATTTCCACTGTTGATTTTGTCATTTTTGTTATTAAGCTAAATTTAAACAAAATCTGGCAACTTTTTTTGACAGAATCTGAAAACGCTGGTTGTTTAATTTGTGCTGTCATCTAGTATCTGACAATAAAAGCTCAAACTTTAATTACAGTTTTCTGTATATTTGTTTTATTACTACCGCTACGATGATAGATGGCGACACAAGTTAAAAGTCGAGCTGCGCCCTCTGCTGGCCAAAAGTTCTTTTGACAACTAAAATATTTGTTTTTGTTTAAAATAACAGAAAATGATTTTTTATATCAAAAGGATGATGGTTTTTAGTAAATATCATTTTGATGGGAAACTATGGGTGAAAATAAAATAAGTATTTTTTTTAATAATATGCATTTTTATTTCAGTCAAATATATAAGAATCATTATAATAATATATTTTCTTGCTACATATGGATGCAAAAAACATGGTTTTTCACATAATCAATTAAAAATTAAATAATAATATACATATCAATCACAGATATTTCATTAAATATGAAGAGAAAAAACATCGAAAATAATGACGAAAAACTGTCAAAATCTGATAATATAGTTACCTCCAGTTTTTGTTTAAAAATTATAAATACCTATTTTTTTTTGATTTTACAAGATTGTAAGTAAAAATACTTACGTAATAATCGAATTGTTATACTAATAAAAAAATAATGTCTTCAGTAAATAAATTAAATAAATATTCTTTCATTAGCTGCCCAATGTGATTTATGTAAATGCATAAAGATATGAATTAATTCAGTCTAAAATTAATAATAAAAAGTGTCGTAAAAACGACACAAATGAGAATTTTGGTGAGGGTCCTAAATAAACAGTGTTTTTATGGAAAAAACACTCTCTAGTGGAGTAAAATGGAGCATCGAACCTTATTTGGTAATTCTACACGAATTCTACCGAACACCTACAACATTAAACGATTTATTTTTACGCTGGTCGATAAAATTTTCAGGTATGTTGCCGACCAGTACTTTTTTAAATAGGTGGTGGTGGTATCCATACAAAATATATTTTCTACTGTATTATTAAGTAAAAATATGAAAAGAACTTTCTTTATTCGATCTTGATTCTCGATTTTACCTTTCGAGGACGGAGACATGCGACAGAATAGAAAGAGATGGAGAAAGTGCGCGAGAGAGAGAAATGATTTTTTTAGTAGATAGGTATTTTTTTCGTGATCGTTTTTCGGCACATGTGGCACGTTTTCAGCGTGTCGGCACATTTGGAGCACGTTCCGTGCCCGCACAAGAAAACAACGTTGCGTTTTCTCTCCATGCAGATGCTGCAAGCGTGCGATTCTTCGATTTCCGCTATTTTGCACTCCAGATATCTAAAAAGTAAAACAACATTTTCTTGTTTTTTTTTATAAAATATTGGCGAGATTCATAGTTAATTATTTTAAGCAATTTTGAAAATCTAAAATTTGTTTTAACGCTATAAAATGTACTTTTGACGTTGTGTTTTTAACATTCTTAAAATGTTTTGGCATTTTAAGTAATATTGTCATTTTTTAAAAAGTTAAAAAAGTAATGAAAGTCAAAGAAAAATAAAAAGGTTATTTATTAAAATCAAAAAAGTAATGTTGACTGTGTCCAACCAAAATTATCAATCTGTCATTTTGTTGAGAAGATATTCGTATCAGTACGCATTGGGATTCGGAAATTGTGGAAAATCCAATATTAGGTAATATCCCTTTAAATTTTTTAAAATAGAAAAAAATCACAAAAAAATAATATTGTAAAAAATGTGAATTTAAAAAACAATTGAAATGCAAAAATGCGAAAAAATTTTGTGAAATGGTAAAAAAACCAAATAAAAAAAAATTTTAAAACCAAAAAATTTTAAATAAAAAATCTCCAAATTTAAGAAAATCGCAAAATGTGAATTCAAAAAATCCTAAAAAATAGGAAAAAAATCTTGTAAAATGGTAGAAAAAAATGAAATAATAAAAAATCTTAATTAAAAAATAAAAACTCAATTTTTTTACAAATCTTGAAATGATGAAATAATTGATGAAATATAGTCTAAAAGTTAATAAAAATCTTTTAAAATAAATAGTCAAAAATCCTTGTGAAATCAGTAAAAAGAAAATTATTACAGTAAAAATAAAAATTATAAATTTTTTAAATTTTGCAAAATTAAGTATTAGGTAATAATATTACTGATTTCACAAGGATTTTTGACTATTTATTTTACAAGATTACCGTAATATCCCTTTCAATTTTTTAAAATAGAAGAAAATACCAAAAATATAAAATCGTAGAAAAGATAAAAATGCGAATTAAAAAAAATTAATACCAAAAAATATTGTGAAATGGTAAAAAAAACAAAATCCAAAAAATAATTTAAATAAAAAATCAAGAATCTCCAAATCTTGTAAAATAAGTGGCATAAAAAGTAAAAAATAATATAAAAATCGTTTATAACCAAAAAATCTTGTAAAAAAGTAGAATCCTTTACAACTGAAAAGTTACCAGAGTCTGTCTTTCAAGAACCTGAAGACAAAATTTGGCGCCCGAGCAGGGACCCGAAAATTTCCCGAAAACCTAACCCACAAACCCGTGAAAGTCAGAGTAAGATGGTTTAATGTTTACGTTTTAAAATGACAAAATCAAAAAAAAAAAATCTCACTACTATCTCTCGACTCACCTCATCCTTTCGGCGCTGGGTTGCCGGCTCTTCGCCGGTATCACCCTGCCGTCCTTGGTCACCCTTTTCTGCACCACTTGGCCGCACTGCAGGCACTTCTTCATGCGCGAGACGCAGTCCTCGCAGGCGGGCTTATGACCGCACGGCTCAAGCTTCACATTTTCCTCGCTGAGGTCGCTGCAAACCAGGCACTCCACCGGCTTGTTGCTCTGGTTGCGCTGCTGCTCGTTTTGCCCGCCAGCCGGCAGGATCTCGTTCTGGTAGAGGTGGTGGTTGGGGGAGTTCTCCTGCGACGTGCCGCCCATCTCCAGCGTTTTGTCGGTCTTGTGCTCCCGCCTGGACCGCCTCGTCCCCTTCTCCTCGACTATCCGTATCGGACTGCTCTTGGGGGCGCTGTTGGTCAAGTTGTAGCCGTCCGTTGCGTTTCTGGCCTCGTTCAGGCTCAAGTTCTCCACCCCCAAGGTGTTGTCTTCGCTCGTGCGGTTGTTTTCCACGAGAGGTTTGTAGCTTTTCAGTAGCTCTTGCAGCTGGGATTCCTGCAGAAGGCCGAGCGCCGATTGGCCCTTGCTGTTTAATGCGTCAAGGTCGATGCCTGACTGCACCAGGTAACAAGCTATGGAGAGTGCCAATCTAAAAAATATCAGCGAAAAATAACGGACAGAACACGTTTTTTGTAACAATTTCACAGGAACCGTAAAAATCAATCAAAAATGTAAAAAATTAAAGTAATATTAAGTTAAAAAAAATCCCACAGAAACCGTGAAAAAAAACAATAAAAAAACAAATATAAAAAAGTTACTTATTAAAATCAAAAAAGTAAATTTACATAAAAATAAAAAAAAACAGAAAAATAAAAAAGTTATTTTTAAAAATCAAAATCAGTTATTTAAAAAAAAGTAATGAAGAAAAGTTAAAAAATGTCAAAAAGTTTAATTTGCATAAAAGTCAAAAAGCCAAAAAAAAAATATAAACATTTTTTAAAATCAAAATCAGAAAGTTATTTAAAAAAAAAGTTAAATAGAAAAGTTAAAAAAAGCCACATAAAAATCAAAAAGAAAAATAAAAAGTTATTTTTAAAAATTAAAGCTTTATTTAAAAAATCAAAATCAGAAAGTTATTTATTAAAATCAAAAAAGCAAAATATTTAAAAAAAGTAAACAAAACAGCCATAAAAAAAGTTTTAAACTAAAAATAAAAACGGTTAAAAAAGTAATGAAGATAAGTTTAAAAAATTAAAAAGAAAGTAAACAAAAAAGTTCCAAAAAGGTTAAAAAATAAAAATAAAAACAGTTAAAAAAGAAATGTAAAAAAAGTTTAAATCTACATAAAAATCGAAATTAAAAAAAAAGTAAACAAAAAAGCCTTAAAAAGTTTTAAAAAATAAAAACAGTCAAAAAAGTTTAAATTTACATAAAAACCAAAAGAAAAAAAAACGTTATTTTTTTTTAAATAAAAGTTATTATTTAAAATCAAAATCCAATTTATATTTTAAAATCAAAAAGCAAAATATTAAAAAAGCCTTAAAAAGTTAAAAATGAAAAGTTAAAAAAAGGTTTTTACCTGTGTTCGGGTACATCGACAAGTTTTTCGTAAATGGAAAATATTTCCGGGTTCTCCTCTTGACGAATGTCCCCGTTCATGTGGCTTCTCTTAATTAAAACTAAATGCAAGGCAGTATCCTCGTCCTCATCTTTGGCATTAATGTTGGCTTTCAGCTTCACCAACAGCTCGATCACGCCGCAATGCCCTGAAAAACGTTTTTACAACGCTCGCCTTCGACTCGCCCCCACTCCCCCCTCTCACCTTGACTGACGGCCAAGAGCAGCGCACTCTGGTTCCTGTTGTTCCTCAGGTCGATGTCGGCCTGGCCGTGCCGCACCAGCGTCTCCACCACGTCCCTGTGCCCGTTCAGGGCCGCCAGGTGCAGGGCCGCGAATCCGTCGTCTTTTTTCACGTCGACGAGTTGCCTAGCCTGCCCCAGAAGCTTTCTGGTGGCGAAGTTTTTGCCTTTTAGAGCTGCGTGGTGCAGCACGTTGAAACCGCGCTTGTTGCGCAGCGTGAAGTCCGTGCCGGCGGCTGCGCACAACATCTCTATTACCTGGAAGTGACGTTTGAATTGCAGCGTTGGTTACATCTTCAACACCATGTATATTATATAGTTTATTTCAATAGATAATTGTAGAAAATTAAAAATCCTTTCATTTGATACGTCACACGGCATATTTTGAAGTAAAAACAAACGAACTAAACCAAAAAAACGCATTTCCAAGGCCTGAGTTGATGTTTTTTTATTTATTCCATAACTCGATTGTTTTTAATCAAAATATGAAGTGTAAGACATCATATGAATGGGAATTTAATACTCTTTACGGCAAATATCGAAATTAAACATTTCTAGTTACATCAACACTCTTTAAGTCAAAAAACGACGTGCAAACAAGCAATTTTGTTTTTCCTTACCTGGTAACTGTCTTTTCCGATGGCGTCGTGAAGGGCCGTGTCTCCGTAGAGGTCCGTGCGGTTGGGGTCTGCGAATGCGCCCAGCAGAATCTGCACGCATCTAGCAGGCTGCTTGTGAGCCGCTATGTGCAGCGCAGTACAGCCGCTCCTATTGGCCGTGTTCAGTTCAGAGCCTGACTTGATAAGCAAGTCTAGCACCTAAAGGGGAGAGAAGACATAAAACACTTGGTTTGTGTAAGAGTTTTATATGTTGGTTTTTTGTTTCGCTAGATGTACCTACACTCGCGTAAATAACTATTATTATATTGTAAATGCGAAAGAATGTAAAAAAAATTAAATAATCTAAATTAATCAAGGAAATAATCAAAGTTAAAAAGAAAAAAATTAAAAACATTTCTTCCACTTACCCCTGGCTGATTCCCAAAGGCGGCGTAATGCAAACAGGTGTCGCCGTCGTTGTCGCTGGCGTTGACCGAAGCTCCCGCCCTCAGCAAGAGACGCACTATGGGGGAGTGGCCTTGGTGCGAGGCCACTTGAAGGGCCGTTTTGCCGCCGCTGCGCGCATCCACCGCCTCGCCCCTCACCGCCTCCAGAAGGCGCTCGACGGCGTCGAGGTGGCCCTGGGCGGCCGCCCGCACCAGCTGATCGGCCGCGCCGTTTGCCGGACCGTCGCCCGGATTGTTAGACGGCTGCCATTGGACTAAAAATACGCAGGTGAATGTTTTTATGGTTTATTTTCATAGATTGTTGTAGAAAATTCAAAACCCTGTTGATTGATATGTCGCATGCCATATTTTGAAGCGAAAACAAAAGAACCAGTCCAAAAAAACGCATTTTCAAGGCCTGAGTTGATGTTTTTTTATTTATCCAATAACTCGCTTGTTTTTAATCAAAATATGAAGTGTGACACATCATTTGAAGCGAAATTTAATACTCTTTACGGCAAATATATAAATAAAACATTTTTAGTTACATCTTTAACACCCTGTAGATTATATGGTTTATTTCAGTAGATTATTGTGGAAAATTAAAAAACCTGTTGATTGATATGTCACTTGCCATATTTTAAAGCAAAAACAAAAGAACCAGCCCAAAAAAACCCATTTCCAAGGCCTGAGTTGATGCTTTTTTATTTATTCCATAACTCGCTTGTTTTTAATCAAAATATGAAGTGTAACACATTATATGAATGGGAATTTAATCCTCTTTACGGCAAATATCGAAATTAAACATTTCTTGTTACATATTTAACACCCTGTATATTATATAGTTTTTTTTAGTAGATTATTGTGGAAAATTAAAAAACCTGTTGATTGATATGTCGCATGCCATATTTTAAAGCAAAAACAAAAGAACCAGCCCAAAAAAACGCATTTTCAAGGCCTGAGTTGATGTTTTTTTATTTATTCCATAACTCGCTTGTTTTTAATCGAAATATGAAGTGTAACACATCATGTGAAGGGGAATTTAATACTCTTTAAGGCAAATAACGAAATTAAATATTTTTAGTTACATCTTTAAAACCCTGTATATTATACGGTTTATTTCAATAGATTATTTTGGAAAATTAAAAAACCTGTCATTTGATATGTCGCATGCCATATTTTAACGCAAAAACAAAATCACTTACTGGAAGGTTCTTGTCGCTGATTCTGCGAAGCGTGCATGGTGTTCGCCAACTCGGCAGCACTGCCCGGTATCAATCGCACGCATTGCGGGTTCAAGGTCCACGCGTGACCGTCCAATTGCACTCTCAAGTCCCCGTCCTGGTAGATCTTCAGGACTTTGCCCAACTTTCCCAAAGACTGAAGAAGAAAAAAAATGCCAACAAGTCAGCACGTAACGCGTAAAAGTAAAACTTACATCTCTCATAATCTCGATCCACTCCCCGTGGCCTTTCTGCAACTCCTTGACCTTCTCTGCGTCCGTTATAACGCTAATAACGTCCCCTACGGCGATGGTGTTCACCTTGTGCAAAACGACGGGATTGAAGGTCCACCTGTTGTTGCACCCCTCGTACTGCACCCTGATGTCCCCCTTGTCGGTAACCCGGTGCACGGTGCCCACTTTACCGATGTACTCGGCCATCCGGGGGTTCCAACCCCCGTGCCCCTGCTGAACGTGCTTCAACCTGTCCACCTGCACGGTCACTTGCACTTTATCGCCCACGTTGAAGGGTGGGGGGCCCGTTCGGACCGTTCTCTCCGCTTGTGCGGTGCTGTCGGCGCCTTGACCCAACACCGGGAGGTGCTCGGGGTAGTACAACCCCCCCTGTGACCCCTCGACGCATTTCACGTCGCAGTTGCCCTTGTGACCGAGACGGTACACGTTTGTCGAACCGCTAAACCAAGCGACGTTTGCCACCGAACGAGAGCTTTCGTTGTCCCAGCCTCTGATGTCCAGCACTTTGCCCATTTTGCCTTTTAATTTACAAAACATAATAATAATCCAGACTCTGTCAAAATAGTTGCGAAATTTTGTTTAAATCTTTGGGAAAATATTTTTTTTAATACTCTAAACTGATTAAGAAATAGATTGGTAATACTTTGGTTTAACTGCAAGGCCTTCTTGCTCGAATATCTTCCACAACTTTAAAGCTAAATTAATTTGGTTTAAAAATTTTCAAAGATCATTAAGGTTTAAAACCGTATATAAAAACACAAAATTGCTTCAAAAATAAAAGAGATACCACACATTAAAGTGACAAGTGAGAAAACGTATTAAAGATAAAAAATATTTTATGGTAAATTCAATAACCTACAAAAAAAGTTATGACGTCATATATCCTACCTTCGCCGCCGTCTTGATCGTTCCACTCCCAGTTGAACCCCCTGACCACAGTGGCGCCCACAAAAATCCCCTTCAGATTCGCCTGACGCGCGTCCCTGCGCGCCGGCAAATCGACGCCCCTGGCGCTCGCCGAATCGAACCTCCGAAAAGGGTGGGAGACGTCGTGACGCCCGGCGTGGTAGCACGCGTGACATAGGTCGTAGTCCGCGCATGCTAAGCATTTAAAGCGCATGCCCGCTATGCCCTGGCAGCTGCAACCGTCGCACTTTATGTTCGGGTGTTTTACGCCTGAAAGAAATTTTTTTTTTTACTTATAACTTAACACCCTGTATATTATATGGTTTATTTCAATAGATAATTGTAGAAAATTAAAAATCCTGTCATTTGATACGTCACACGGCATATTTTGAAGTAAAAACAAACGAACTAAACCAAAAAAAACGCATTTTCAAGGCCTGAGTTGATGTTTTTTTATTTATTCCATAACTCGCTTGTTTTTAATCAAAATATGAAGTGTAATGCATCATTTTAAAGGGAATTTAATACTCTTTACGACAATTATCTAAATTAAACATTTCTAATTAGATCTTGAACACCCTGTATATTATATTGTTTATTTCAATAGATAAATGTAGTAAATTAAAAAACCTGTTAATTGATATGTCACATGCCATATTTAAAGCAAAAACAAAAGAACCAGTCCAAAAAAACGCATTTCCAAGGCCTACGTTGATTTTTTTTATTATCCAATAACTCGCTTGTTTTTAATCAAAATATGAAGTGACACATCAATTGAAGAAAAATTTAATACTCTTTACGGCAAATATCTAAATTATACATTTTCAGTTACAGTTTACACACCCTGTATATTATATAGTTTATTTCAATAGTTAACTGTAGAAAATTAAAAAACCTGTTAATTGATATGTCAGATGCCATATTTTAAAGTAAAATCAAAAGAACTAGACCAAAAAAACGCATTTCCAAGGCCTAAGTTGATGTTTTTTTATTTATTCAATAACTCGCTTGTTTTTAATTAAAATATGAAGTGTGACACATCATTTAAAGGGGAATTTAATACTCCTTTAACTATTACTAATTTTAACATTCTAAATAATTTAAAGGGGCAATGAATAAAGGGGCCAAGTGACATTTTTAATAACTGCAAAATTTAAATGTAACATGGTACCTTCAAACAAAAAATATAATTTATTTAGAAAAATACGATTTTAATTACAATTACAATATTTTTGTCCTTTATTATTAAAAATTGTGTTTTTAACATTCTTATTTATGTAATTCATATTAAATATTGTTAAGTCAATATTATGTCCATTATCAAAGTAATTAACAAAGTTTGCTACTATTTATAAATATTATATTAATATCGGTAGGTATATTACAAGTTACTACTGATTTAATTGCATTTTTTAAACAATAATTTCAAAAACATATTTTAGGATTTACATTTTAAACCATGATTTCATCTTATTCTTTATTGCATACTTATTGCCTTAAAAAGTGCATTAAAATATATAATTTACCATTATTTTTTCTGTTACATTTAACTTTGCTGCATTTATTTTTATTAACACACTTCATAAAAACTGCAAATATTTAATTCTCTCTAAACTAAACACAAACATCTAACAATAACAAATATACACACAAAACTGCATAGTATTTTGATAAAAATCTAAATAATAATTTTTACCATATCTTGCAAAATTCAGTGTAGAATAATGACAATGTCCCAACAATATATCATGTTGCAATAACATAATATCCACTTAGTGTGAAGGTAATTAAATTAATTATTAATTATACCCAAGGTTGATAAAATATTGCAATATTACACCTAATTAATCTTTTACATGCATTTTGGCAGGGTCAAAAAATACATACCTATTTGAGCATTATCTATAACTCGCAAGTCGTATTTTCCCAAATAACCCACTCTATAGTTGGTTCTGGTACCATTGTCCCATTGCACGACCACAGTTTTATCCGGAGACCCAACCGTTCCTGATTTTCCTATTTCACAAACAGTCCCAACATTACCTTCTCCACCATCTAAAAAATGTTTTGTATTGTTTTAGACGTAATATTAATGTTTTAATTTTTATTTACCTTGGTTGTTCCAACACCAATCGGGGCCCCTCACAATTCTAACGCCAGGGGCTAGCATTTTCACCCAAAACAATTTACTCACTTTTATGTAAATTAATTGATTGAATATAATGCACAAATTATGGAAATTTCCGCATTTTACGTGGCTGTATTTTTGATGCGGCTTTGGCACTCAATTATCTTCGGGTTTTTACACAAAATGAGTCATTTTCCCTTAAATATTCCTATTAAACTAGAAAAATCGTATTGTTATTGTCATTTTTTGACAGGTTTGAAGTTTTATTGACGTAGATGGCGCTCGTGTAGCCTGATTGATTTACTAATCATAGACCTACGAAAATTATCATAGAGCAAGAAAATATAGAATAAAAAACAATAAATGTACAGGAATTATATACAAATTTAAATATTAAATGCATTCGAAGGCAAAATAAAGCCATACAACCAATATTAAAGGTTTTTTTGCTTTATTGGTAGTTCAATTATTTGACATTCAACGTTGCCAATGTGTGGGTAATTCCTCACATTTGTGAAAATTTTAATTGTCTGCGAGGATATTACAATTATGAGTAAAATGTGAGTATTTCGCTCGGAAATTTGTTTCATTTTTGATGTTTGCCAACATTGGGACAATTGGGAAAGTGAATTGGCAACACTGGTGACATTTCATCTACTGTCAAAATTTTGTGTCCTAAAGTCTTGTTGTTATTGTCAAAAAGTGTCAAATTAACGTGATTATACATACTTATATTTATTTTTCGACTAAATCTAAGCTTTAAGTAGTAAAAAACGTTAAGTATCGTATTATAGTGAAAGTAAGTTATCGCCTAATATGGCAACGGAAAAGGGTGCGAAGCAGATTACGAAAAACATCAAAAAAGAGTCACAACCTGGGGATGTTAATGGTATGGGGGTGCCTTTGTTCCTAAAAAAGCTTTGGAAAATATTGTATGATGAAGACAGTGAGAATATAATTGAATGGAGCCCTTTGGGAGATGCTTTCATTATCTACGACCAAATACAGTTCATGATGGTTTTGCTGCCCAAATACTTCAAGCACAACAATTTGGCGAGCTTCGTGAGGCAGCTGAACATGTACGGGTTCCACAAACGGCAGCATTCTGAAAAGGATGGAGAAATGGAGTTTAACCACCCGTATTTCATGAAGGACTTGCCAGAATTGTTGAAGTTTATCTCGCGCAAAGCCCCTGTGCACCGAAACCAGCAGAACAGCAAGGACGTCGCGGAGCCGTACGAGTTGGACGCGATTTTTAAATCGATTAAAATCATGAAGAACAAGCAAAATTTGGTCGATAACGAGTTGAAGTCTCTAAAGCAAGAAAATGGGGCCCTATGGAGCGAGTTAAACAATTTGAGGGTCAAACACGCCAAACAGACGCAGATCATCAACAAGCTGATACATTTTTTGGTGCACTATATGCACAGTTCGAGCGTACAAAAACGGCAAGGTTCCAGAATCACCAAGGAGAGTAAAAGTCAGACTTTAAACAAAAGGCCGGGCTTTTTCGAGTTGGAGTACAACAAAAACAACCCCGTTAAGAAAAAGAAGTCCAACAGTAAAGACGAAGGCCCCACAATATTCGAGTTAGAGCATAATGATTGCCCGAATGAATACTGGAAGAAATACGACGAAAAAATGTTGTTTGTGGATCCACCAGGACAACACATTGTAACCGAACCGGATGAAGACTCCAGTGAAAGTGAAAGTTTAAACCCCAACATAAACGAGATAACAGAAACCCCTAACCTCACTTACTCGAACATAATACAGGAAATGGCGGATAACGAAGACTTGCTGAAAGAAGTATCACCAAGCGAGGTTCTAGACCAACCGAGCACCAGCAAAAGCATACCGAACATAACGGAAAAAACTTCCATAACGCTCGACAAAGCTTTGAGCTCCAAGGAAAACTTTAATTTGTTCCTGGACAGCACCCAAACTGAGCTCAACAACTTCCAAGAAACGCTGAGCGGTTTGAGTCAGAACGACATAGCTCAACTGTTGGATTTGTTCGAGAGCAATGTGCCTCTGCCGATTGAGGCAAGTGAGGTTAACGACCCGGAAGTGGTCCTAACCCTGGCAGGGCTGCCCAAAACGGACCCTAAAGTCACGATAAACCCCGACGATATGCTGAATCTCACGAACGAGATCGACAAGATTCAAGGGGAGAACAACTTAATTCAGAACTTTAATTTGGGGGACAATAGGGACTTGAATATGACCAGCATGGATTATTTGCAGAATGACAACAGTGTCACAGAAGAAAATGTCGATTTGGACATTCTAAACTTGCTTGGTACGGAATCCAACGATGGTTAATTTGGTAAAACAAATAATTGAGGTTATGTCAGTTAATCGGCAGTTTCGTTTTGTTTTTTGAAAATAGTACTATAAATTGTATTATTTTCAAAAAATAAGACAAAAATTGGCCTTAAATTGACAGATACAAAACACTAATCGTCCATTGTTGCCACTTTTCAATTCAATTAAATGGTTACAAAAACAAGATAAGATTTTTAGGTTAGGTTCAACTGACTTGATGACATTTTAGCTTCATTTTTGTACGGAATTTTATAATAATTTGACTTTTGAACTAATTTTAACTATGAAGCCAATCACAGGCGTGTTTTAGCAGAATGATTAGAGGTGGGAGAACTGAAGCTTAATTTTAGAAATTCCATATAAAATCGTATTAACATAAAAATGGCCGCCGTTAGAATCTGTGCAGTGATTTTTAGTATGCGCGAAACAAGATAAAACAGGGTTTGTTGTGTGGATTGTGATTATTCCATATTCATTCAAATATCTCAAATTAAATAATGTTAAAATTAATTATTAATATTAATAAAATAATTATTTTAACTTATTTAAAAAAAGTAAAGTAAAGTATATCACCATCAACCCTGTATTAACTTATTTATTAAGTCGCAAGTTAAAAAAAATAAAAAAATAAACATTTCCACTGAACCTAAAAAACCAAAACACTGACAGTGAAAAAATAAAATTAAGGTAATTTCACAATATGATACCTACGTTCATAGTCATGGAATTTCTACAAAAGTTTGTGTTGTCCCACCTCTAATCATTCTGCTAAAGAACGCCTGTGATTGGCTACTTTATTTTATTAATAAATTATTAATGGTGCGACTGACTTGACTTGAAACACCCTGTATATAATATGAAAAATATTGCTCACTTGAAAAAACATCTAATTGAATTGCAATGTGGCAACAATGGACGGAGTCCCTCCCAAAATCGCTTGTTGAAATCACAATCCATTTCTAAATAGGCTAAAAATCAAAAACTTAGGCAACCCACTGTACAGACTAACGGCGGCCATTTTAATGTTGTTTAAAATTTTTGTGCTGTCAGGCCCGTCAAATGTCAATTTTAAGGTTAATTTACCATAACCCACAAATTAACCTTAAAATTGACAGTTGTTGTGGATTGTGGTTGAAATAAGGTGTTAATTTTATTGTTCATTGAATATTTATTTATTTTATAAAATTGTTCATCAAAAATATTTTTATGCTATATAAAAATCATTTGTTATCAACTAAATTCATAATTTTTCAGAATGAGACACTGTGATAAGACGTTTTATTGTATTATTTTATATCCTTTGGGATAAAAACATGGTAGTTTTTTGTATGGGTTTTTATAGGCATTCATTTTTCTACAGATTAATTGTTATGTAGATTATTTTGCCACACTTTACGATAAATATCGTAAAAAATTAAGTAAAAGCAAAGAATAATAATATAACAATCTGCTTTTAATAACTTTTGTAGATTTTTGCATTTACAATATAAATTAAGATAATAATTAGATTTATATTCAAAATATCGTTTACATAATTACGATAATTCCTTAGTATGTAAATTATTTCATGTAGGTATTAGGAATCTAAATAAAAACCAAGTTAAAAAATGGCGTTTTATTTATCAAAATATGTAACAAATTAGTGTGGATTCACCATTACCGTCAGCACAAGAAATACACATGTTTTGACATGTCAATTTTTAAGGTCGTGAACAATCTTATGTGTATGTTTAAAGCCTGATTTATTGATGAACAATACGAAAATCGTATTTCTTATGCTAACGGTTATTGTGAACCACCCTTACTAATCAAACTTAATCAACTAAAAGCTCATCGTGCTTTTTCATGTGAAACTTGAGACCGGTGTTGGTCTTAAATTTGGCCGGGCAACAAGTACATGCAAACGATCTCTCGCCTAAATGCACGACCCTTATGTGTTTTCTTAAAGTGAACAACCTCGGAAACTTTTTCATGCAAATTTTACAAGTGTGCACGTTTCTTCTCACATGCCTATCCTGATGCTCTTTCAGCCCACTGTGCGTCGCGAACTCCTTATCACACCGCTCGAAGTTGCACTTGTGCGGTTTTGTGTTTGTGTGGGTTAAGGCGTGTTTTAGAAGGTCGTTTTTCGCGCTCGTGCTATACCCGCACACCTCGCAGACGTGCTTTTTCTCTCCGTGCACGAAGTCCATGTGGCCGCGCAGACTGGTTTTCGTCGCCAGAACTTTGCCGCACAACCGACAGGTGGCGCTGTGGTTCGAAAGCGTCACGTGCTGAAAAAGAACGTGCTCGTCGAGATAGTGCTTGTTTTTGAACGGTTTTGTGCAGTACACGCACGAGACGGGGTACTGTTCGGAGTGTGCTGTGATTTTGTGGTGCGATAGCGAGTGTAACGTGGCGAATTTTGAGTCGCACGGTATACACTTTAAATTTTCCGTCAGGTGGTAGCAGAAATGGTCGTCCTCGAACTCATTTGTTTCAAACTTATGGCCGCATAGGGCGCACTTGGTTTTTTCCTGCGTAATAGAGACGTCGTGGTTTCTGAACATGTGGAACACTAACTCGCAATCGTTCACCACTTCGTCGCACTTCGAGCACTGAATTTGCTTCACCATGTAGCCAGGGTGAATCTCGATGAAGTGCTCCGTAAAATTTTCGTTCTCCTGTATATAACCGCAAATGTAACAGAAGTGAATATTAACGTTCTTTTCCAAAAACTGCTTTAACACTATGTGCTCGAAGTAGTGCAAAGAAAACAGCAAGTTCGACTCCAAATCTGTGTCGCACAGATGGCACATCGTATTATTGGCGCAATCTTTGGAATCGCTCAAATTTTCATCCAAATCGGTGTAATAATCGACCTGTAACGCAACAGGCAACTCGTCAACGTTAACTTCCTCAACAGTGCAGTCGTTATTGCGTAAATGTTCAACCACCAAGTCGTTATTAACAAACAACAACTTGCACAGAGGGCACTCGTAGAAATCGTTGAATGTCTTGGTGATTCCACTGAAGGTCTCCATATCCAACCCCAGGAAAGTCTCCCTGCATGTAACGCCCCCTACATGCAACCTAACGTTGAAACGGAACTTGCTGCTATACTCGCACAGCCTGCACTTGTAGAGCTTATTTTTCGTCACCTCTACAATGTTGCTTGACAGTTTAAAACACGCATCTTGGTGACTCTCAAACGCGTCTTCGTTTGCGAAGGTTAGCGGGCAATAAGGGCATTTTCTTTTCTCGGCGTTTTCCGCGTTCAAATCGAAATCCACGCAATCTAGGTTTTTCACGTGGTTCACGATGTCGACGGGTTCGGAAAATTCGTTCTGGCACAGCGAACATTGGTACAATTCGTCATCTTTGCGTAGGAATTCTATGAGGGGCCGTATATCGCCCGATTTGATGCTTTGCAGTAGTTTGAGTCTGCACGTGCTGCTCAGAAAGTGTTCCTTCCACTTCTCACTGCTAACTGAGGTGTTGCAAAGTCCGCAGTGGTATTTTTGGGATTCGTTCAGTTCGTACATGTTTCTGTGTAGTATTTCGCAAGTCGCGAAATGTTTATCGTGTTCTGTGTACGTTTTATTGCAAAATTTGCACGGCACTTCAGTTTTGGTGTTGTTGAGTTTGGCGATGGCCACAACCTGTTGCAGGGCGCCGTCGTTATTCATCAAGCAGGCCTTGTGGAGCAGATGGTTGCATAACTCCCACTTCAAGCTAAAGCCCTGTTCGCACAACATGCACTCGAACGCGTCGCCGCTTGCGACTTTATTCAAGGTGCACTCGTCATTATCTTTGAGTTTTCTGACGAGTTCTTTGCGACAGTGCACGTTACCCACGTGGTTTTTGACGCTGGCCTTTCTCGACGAAGTGTACCCGCAAACGGCGCACTTAAAGTTTTTCCCGACGGTCAAAACGTGCCGGTAAACCAGGGCGCATCGCACTTCGTGCATTTCCAACTCTTTCAGGTCCGAGTAGGAGATGGAGTCGCAGATCTGGCAACGTTTGGGTATGGGCGTGGTCTCCACTTCCACAGGTTCGGAGGCGTTTATATTGAGGCAGTCCTTGTATTTTATGTGGTGGGATAGTTTCGTAATTGTGTCGTGAAATTGCCCGCAAAACGGGCAAGTGTACACAGTGTTTTCATCGATGTTTATCGTAATTTTTTTTTGAATTTCCTCATCTTTCAAAGCAATTTTCTGCATGACGGATCTGCGGCAGTTCGAAAGTCCAATGTGTTTTTTTATGTAGAAACTATTTGTCGAAGTTAAATCGCATATTGTGCATTTAAAGCATTGAGATGATATCTGCATAATTAGTTTGCTCACTTTCCCGCACCTGTAGGTGTGTTGCGCGATTTTATTTTCCTCCACAGTGTTACCACAATATTCGCATGCATTCGGCGTTGCCACGTTGCTTTGTATTTGGCCCTTGGTTGGTTTATATTCCAGGCAATTCACTTCTACAATGTGCCTTTTTAGCTCTGCAAAATCGTCGAATTTCACCGTGCACAAGGGGCACGTGTAGGCAACCTTGCAACTCTTCAGCTGCGTAATTTTTTCCATGCCTTTTTCGTTTATTTTCTCGCATATAACACTGCGGCAGCTCTTGTTACCCACGTGCGCTTTTATTGTGAATTTTAGGGGTTTTTCGTACCCGCATAGTCCGCATTTATACTTTTTTGTACTATCATCGTAAATAATATGCTTAAGCACTTTCTCGCATCTAAATTGGTGCTCTTCCAACTCCAGAAGTTGCGTTTGTTTGTAAAACGCCCTACAAAACGCGCATTTTATAAAGTTTGTATATTTTTCACCATTCTCTTTATGTGGTTCCAAACAATTGACTTCTTTCACATGCACCAGAAGCTTATTAATTTTATCAAACTCCTCAAGACACAACAGGCATTGATAGTTGTTATCTTTAGTAATAATCCTCCTCATAATGCTAGGTCTTTGCAAGAAAATCTCCCTGGCATACGTTTTTTTGCAATTCTTACTCCCCACATGCACTTTAAGATACTTTTTTTGCGCATTTTCCACGCTACACAGCAAGCACATGTAATTTATCACCCCATCTTCCTTAAACTCCATTATGTTTCTTGACACTTTTTCACATTTGAACATGTGGTTGGCCATTTCCTTTACATTTCCACATTTGAAAACGCAAAATTTGCACTGTTTTGTCGATAATATTTCACAATTTTCTTCATTCACTTTTGAAATGTTTTGGTTCAAAATTTCTTCATGAACACTTTCTTCATTTTTACCTCCACTGTCCATTTCTTCTTCCAAGTGGTCAGTCTCATCTTCATCATCAAATTCTTCAGCCTTCTTATCGAAAATCGCGTTTTCTTCACCATAATCTTCATCTTCACTCTCTGAATAACTTTTATCAGAAACACTTCCACTGGATTTTGAATCATCCATGTAATGATCTTTGTCTTCATCTTCCAATACATTTTCGTCTGGAATATTTTCCAAACTCATGTCTTCAGGTTCCATTATCACACCATCTTCATTTTCATCAATAACATTGGAAGTCGGTATTTTAGATTCCACTGCTCTTTCTTCTTCTTCTTCGAATATATCTTCATTAGCCATGTTTAAATTGGCGTCCAGTTCGATATAATTTGCATTATCATTACATTCAACCAAGGAAATGTGTGGTTTCCCGGCTACAGCTTTCAATATCTTTGCATTTGTATTCACCATTGTTTTAAAGTTGAAGAAGTTTATGAGGGACCCTTTGCAGACCCTGCATATTTTCTTTGGCAAATTATCCGTGACTTCCACCTAAAAAACGCAATTTTTACACTAAACCAACATTGAAATTAAATTACTCACCTCCAAACCAATGTTGGACAGAATATTTTGCGTTTGCTCCTCCTCGAGGGGAATAATGGCCCCATTTTGCGACAGGCAAAATCTGCACACTATTTGTAGATTCTCCGGTAGAGTTACGAAGTATTCCATCACGAAATCACCGACAAAAACATGACAGGTAGATTTTTGAGGTTAAGTGTTGTTAAAATGTTATTTACGTATATATTTATATGTTTATTAGTTGTAACATATTGTTAGAATGTATAAAACTTAACACGCAGTAAAACAAGGCACTACACAACGTAAAAAACGCGATTTTGATCGGTTTAAATCTACAAATTAAGCAACAGGGCGTTGGACATTGGAACTACTTTTGGCGTCTGTCAGAAATGTGAGGTTAAGCGAAAATAACATAAATTGTTGGAAATGGAAAATATTGCGATTCCCGATGATATACAAACACTTTGCAGATTTTGTTTGTTGCAAAATGAACCGACGATATGTTTTACTCAAGGGGAGATACAAAGCTTTCTACATAATCTGCATTTAGACGTAATATATTTGAAAATAATATTATTTCGGTTGTTTTTAAATGTTTTTATTGTTTTTAAGGTGGAGATAAGCGATGCTTTGCCCGGGAAAATTTGTGTACAGTGCTATAATTCCATAGCTAACGCCTCAAAGTTTATAAACATGGTTCAAAGCAATGAAAATGCTATTAAAAATATTAAAAGTACAAAGTATGAAGACTTAAATATATCAAATTCAGATGATAAAATACAGAATGATATTAGTAGTTCTAATGATGAGGCACACGTATTTAAATACAAATGTAAATTTTGTTGGCAAACGTTTAAGAAAAGTTTTAAGATGAAAATTCACGTGTATCGATGTGGGAAAGTTCTGAAAAATATGTCAACATTCCTGGATGGTAATGTGAGGAAATATAAATGTGGTTTATGTAAGTTAGTTGGGTTGAGAAAGGGGAATATGAGGAGGCATATTGGGGGGGTAAGTTGTAAAAAAAAGGTTATTGATTGTATAAATAAAATGGACAAAGAAATGTTAAAAAAAATCACTAGGGGGTCTGATGTTGTTCTATATAGAACAACATCAGACCCATATGAATGCCCATTGTGTTTTAAGTCATTTAAATCTTTAAAAAGTGTCGCAAATCATTTATCTTCTGAAGAGTGTTTAAAAGTAACATCTGAAACCACTGATTTGATGATGTTGAATGAATCACATGAAGATTCTGATGATGACAAAAAATCGTATAAATCTAAATGCCCGTTCTGTAAAAACTCATTTTCCGTTGAGGAAACGTACAAAAAACACGCAATTTGGTGTGAAGCTGTCTACACAAACATAGAAGAATTTGTGGAGGAAAACATCAAGAAATTCAGATGTAGAATTTGCAACCACATACTTTGTAGTAAGTTTGGTTTGAAGCGCCATATTGGAACTGCATTGTGTAAAAAAACCTTCAACAACTCACTAGAGAACGGCAAAAAAGATTTTCTCCTAAAAATATCAAAAATTTCAAACACAAACCACACCATAACCTATCAATGCCCCTTATGCAAAAAAGATTTCCACCAGGAAAATCGCATAATAGACCACTTAAAACAAATGAACTGCATCGAGATTCTGAACCCGGAAGGGCAAGATTTCAAGGTCAAGCGGAAGCTGCAGTGTTGCCACTGCATCGCTCAGTTCAAACGGAGAGGGGAGCTAGGCAGGCACGTTGATTGGTGCGGGAAAATAAGCGGCAACATTGTGGAGGAGGGGGGGTCGTTCAGGTGTTTTCTCTGCGATTATATGTCGAATTACAAGTTCAACGTTAGGATGCACATTGGGGGGGAGGAGTGCCGACGGAGAATATCCGAGATTTTGGCGAAAGATTATAAGGATATTAAGAATGTTATAGAGAAGGTGGCCAAGGTTAATAGTGTTACAAATTCGGTGTTCTATGAGTGTCCATTGTGTAAAAAAACCTTCGGGAGCGTTAATGATATTTTTGATCATTTAATGAACATAAACTGTTTGTCTAAAGTTGATGATGTAGATATTGATTTGCTCCCCATTGAAGATCAGTTGAATTATTATGAGGAATCAAAAGAAACCTTATAAGTGCACATTCGAAAATTGCTCTGTTAATAATCAGCTGTCAAACGCTTATGTTACAAACGATTGTTTTTGAGAATAAAGCCGGAAAATGTTAAAAAATATCTCGATTTGTTGTTTGTTGGGTGTATTTCGAGAGGAAATCCTGGGTTGAGTTTTTACCAGTTTTCCAATAAACAGTGTTAATCTGAACGAAGAAATAAATTGCATACAGTCTCTGTAAATATAAATTGTACCTATTAGATACAATAAATACACATTTTAGTGGAGATTAACGTGAAAAGTGAAAACATTCCAATTCAGTAAAAATCGTCAAACAAATAAGTCGTCTAAATTTAAACAGCATTTAGCATTCCCAGATAGCACAAAGGTATACTATGGACGTCCAATGGACGTATGCTCGTCCCATGGACATCCGTTTAGAGTCCAGATGTCACAACTTTGGACATCCATAACTTATGGACCATAATTATAGTCGTCCACCGATGGACGTCTATAAGGTGTTTGAACCATTCCTCCAGCATCCAGGACCTGCTTTTTTGCTTACTTTAACTGTTTTTTGCGACTGTATTTTCATTGCGATGTTGCAGAAAATTTTCTACAACATGACTGAAATGCCTTTTGTCTGGCTCAGTAACAATCCCACTAGGAATATAAATATTCTAAAAGTTGTTAAAAGTTACAACATTCAATGTTGAACATTGCAGGAAATCCTTGTATTCGACTCAGGAACATTACATTTGCAATTATTGTATTATACTGCATTGATAGCTTAAGTCCTTTATAGCACGCGCTTGCTTGAATGTCAGTGAGATTGATCATAACTGTTGTTATGCAGCCAACAATACGTTTTAACTTGCATTTCTGTAATAATAATTATGGACGTAAAATGGACACTATATGGACGTCCATTAAAATCGTACAAAGGATGTAAATATATGGACGTACGTACATAGTACATCCATTTTTAGTCCGTGGACCAATGTACTTAAAATGGATCTTAAACGGACGTCCATTGGACGAATTATTATTAAACGGTAAAATACCATTATATTATGTATTATATATATAATTATGTTGCCATGAATTCGTAGGTATATTTTGTTGTTTAAAATGCAGTTGTCTTGTTTTTTAGAGAACTCAAATATAAAAATGGTTGATTTTAAGGTTATGTTTGTGCAAAAATTATTTTTTACCAATTTATTAAAAATGTCCAAACTTAAATTTAAATTATATTACGTAAAGTTATCATTACTTAATTCTGCACCAACAAATGTACTTACCGAATTGGATCCTTTAGCAAATCATGGTTCTTGAATTTTATTTACAATTAAAATCACTATAATTTACCATTATCCCTTTGATAAAATACACACACTAACGTAATTATATAAGCATTTAAGCGTTCAGTTTCTTAATCAATGATATAAGGAATAATCAATTGAAATCGAGTCCTAAAAAAGTTTTTTAGTTTTTTCCTTGCAACGTAAAACACAAATAACGTGCGCGATTTAGCTTAGCAATTGAACAAAATTGGTCGCGTATAGTGTTAATATTAATAAAAATCTCTTATTGAAAAACTTATTTATTTATTTATTCACAAAAAATAAAACTATATTATATTTTTTTAACAAAATATACGAAAAATATTCCACATACAATATACATATTATGTACCTTTAACAATCATAATTGATTTGTGTGTAATGCATTCTATAACAAAATAATAAATTTGTTAACAACACTTTTAATCAGCTGGCACAACCATTAAATTAAAATAGTTTTTTGTACTTTTTTACGCTTTATCATTAAGGGGCAGTGCCTCATGCAAGTCGTTTTGCGATTGTTTTGGGGGGTCCTTTGCGTACACGAATCTGTAGAGGAGGGCTCCTAGGAAAGCTGCCGCCAGGGGGCCAACCCAATAGACCTAAAAAAATATATAGATATTTTTTAAAGTGGATCCAAGTCGATGTTAATTTTAAGAAAACCAAAAATTACACGCGTCTATATTTTGTGGATAATCTCGAAAAATTAGTATTGAGCATATAAAAATATTTACATTTTCTTAAAGTGGATAAAATTTGGCAACTTTTGATATAATTATTTTTTAAGTTGGGTAAAAAATAACCAATCTACAGACTCCCAAAGTTGGTCCTAATTTTAAGACAACTAAAATTGACACGACATTAAATTTTGCAGAAAATCTCGAAAAATTAGGATTGGGCATATAAAGATATTTACATTTTCTTAAAGTGGATAAAATTTGTCAACTTTTGGTATAATTATTTTTTAAGTTGAATAAAAAATAACCAATCTACAGAGCATCAAAGTTTACTCACCCAGTGATGCTTCCAGTCGCCATTGAACAAAGCTGGGGCAAAACTTCTGGCAGGGTTCATGTTGGCGCCTGTGTAGGGTCCCTAAAATCACCGAGAATTAACACGTGCTCATACAGGAAAACATTTTCCTTGCTTACCCCAGCCATGGCGAGTACTGCGATAGCAAAACCGAATCTGATTGGTACAGAGTCATGGTGTTTGGCGTTCCTTGGGTCCCATACACCGCAACAGACTAAAACGAGGATGAAAGTTATGATGAACTCCACCAAAAAGGCTTGTTGGGCGGTAATATTCGGATTGGGGGATGGTGAACAAAGTCCTGGGAGTTTTTCTCCCAGAGTTGTGTTTCTATTGTTTTGGAAATAAAATTCAGGAGTGCAACCCTGAAAAAATAACAAAACATAGATTATTTTATTCTCTACATCTCTACACTAAAGGTTTTAGCTCTCAATATTAAGTAGGTGATTATTTTACCTTGAGAAGTCCAAATCCTAATAAAGCACCAGCCATTTGTCCTATAAAGTAGATTGGAACTTGTATTAACGAAATGTTTCCTAAAGTAGCCGCTGCAACTGTCACCACAGGGTTTATATGAGATCCAGAAACGTGCCCAAATACCTAAAAATAAAAAAATATTTTACTCATGATTTTACAGTGATACCACATCATTGATTAAGAAACTCGACGTTTAAATGCTTATATAGTTACGTTAGTGTGTGTATTTTATCGAAGGGATCATGGTGAATTATTGTGTTTTTAATTGTAAATAAAATTCAAGAACTAAATCGTTGCATTTTCATGTTTTGCCAAAGGATCCAATTCGGTAAGTACATTCGTTGGTGCAGAATTAACTAATGACAACTTTACCTAATATAATTTATATTTAAGTTTGGACATTTTTAAGAAATTAGTAAAAGATAATTTTTGCACAACATAACTTTAAAACCAATCATTTTTATATTTGAGTTCTCTAAAAAACGCCGACAACTGTATTTTAAACAACAAAATATACCTACGAATTCATGGCAACATAATATTATATATAATACATAATATGGTATTTTACCGTTGTGGAGACTTTCTTAATCAAGGCTTTTAATAATGCTAAATGCTGTTTAAATTTAGACGACTTATTTGTCTGACGATTTTTACTGAATTGAAATGTTTACACTTTTTATGTGTATTTATTGTATCTAATATGTACAATTTATATTTACAGAGACTGTTTGCAATTAATTTCTTCATTCAGATTAACACTGTTTATTGGAAAATTGGTAAAAACTCAACCCAGGATTTCCTCTCGAAATACACCCAACAACACAACAAATCAAGCCACGGTTTTTTTCCCGACATTTTTTAACATTTTCGTTTGTATACATATATGTATAACATAAGCTGATTATTAAAAGTTGTAGGTATACCTACGCTGATTATTAAAAGTTGTATACTTTTGTTAAGATGATAACAGCCGAGTGGTGGCGCTACTATCTATACTTCTTTAGCGTATGTGATTATTTATACCAACCCTATTTTAATTATTATAATTATCTAACAATTGTGTTGGCCAAATAGCTTTAAAAAAAGCCAAAGGCCAAAAAATCTGAAGAAGAAGAATAATGTTATATGTTCTAATCACATATTTACTAAATATTATTTAGTATGTGGTTCTAATTTATAATATCATAAAAAGTATCATACATACGTAAAACATTACAATAAATTATATTAATATTTATAAATAATAAATTTAGTTGAACGTCTTTGTTTACCGAAGGTTTAAGATAAAATAATTGTGTCAAAAACAGTTGTAATAAATAAGTACAAAAAAATTATTTCCTTGTGTAGTTTTTTCTCGCAGAGGTTACGTCATTTGTTTTGCAACTACCGCAATATTGAAGTTATGTTAATGCTCTCCCAATAATTAAGGTGGCTATGATTAAAGCGTGGCAAAAAATTCAATATGGCGGCCACTGTAAGATGGATTGCCTATTTCTTCACAACCTCCTTGACATTTGCACCAAATTAAAGGATTTGGCGAGTGGAAAACGATAAGGTAAGTGAAAATTTTCATTTTTGATAGCTGTCACCTGTTATTTTTTGACATTTTTCTCAAGTTTCAAATTTCAGTATATTTTCAAAATTACCTGTCATTTTTGACAACTGTCGTTTTTGACAGCTGTCGTTTTTTGACATAAACCACTATTTGTTCACAACCTTCTTGACATGGGTATCAAATGATTTTCACAAATTCACAAAATTTTCTAGAAAATAATGTAATAAAAATCAATGATGTACACAATAATCATTTTTTTTTGAAAAATTGACTACACAGAAAAAAATCTAATATTAGTAAAGTTTAACAAACATTACAGGTACCAAGAACAGCGCTGTCATTGAATGCATTAAAATTGAAGCAATCTAAATTGTTATTTGCTCAATTAATTACTTTTAAACCAAAATAGGGAAATATTTTGCCTAAATGTCAAAGAATATATTGCGTTAAATGTATACATAGTATACATACAATAGTAACGTTATTAAATAAATCAAATTAGTATTTAATACAATAACATTCTACCATTCTAAAAAATAAATATCAATGTGAATATCAATAGATTTAGGAGCGATTAATTTTGTTATTAATTTAAAAACAGTAAACGATTATAAACCAAGTGCTAACTACCTATTGGTATTATAGGAACTGTTATTCAGGAATACGGATTACAAGATCCCATTGGTTTAATGGCTCACCTACCTATTCATGCTATGCTAGCGTTTTTTCTGTGTAAGAAATAAAATAAAAACAAAAGGTGTGCATCATAATCTATTCCACATAAATGTATACATTTTAGTTATAACTAGTTAAATAAATAGAATAAATAGAAATACGGAGGTAATAAAACATAATCTTTATTTAATGTATTTAAAAAATTACAAAATACTGAATCATATTGGGATTTTGCAATGTACATATTAAAATAAGGAATACTGACTGACTTAAAGGATTAATTTTTAATCCTTTTTTATTATTATGTTGAAATTAATGAAATTAATCAGAATTATATAAGTAGGTATACCTATAGCTACATTCAAATGAAGTTTAGACTTATCTCGAGATCTTGTTTTTAATAATGGTTATTATGTTGATATCAATTAATACCTAGTATGGAGCATTATTATTGTAATTACGAGGTTTACATTGAAATCCATAATTTAATATACAGGGTGGCCGATAAAAAAATTTGTTTTGTGGCTATGGAGTTTTTAAAGAAGGCACTAAATTTTCTAATCATGGCTTAATCTAATAGCTGGATGGGCATATAAATACAGAAGGGTATTGGAGCTTTAAGGGCATACAACATTTGTATTTATTGAGTTTTATTTATTTTTTGCAAGAAAAATTTTGGTTGGTATCTATGCACTCAAAAAAAACTTCTAATATATATATTTATTTACATATTTATTATCCGTTTATATTGATGTTAAATTTAAAATTCTATTATTACGTACAAAACATTTTTTATTTTGGCAAGAATTCCATTTTTATTAAGAAATATTTCGACTGAGTAAACATTTTAAAAATAAATTTAAGTTTTTGTTTGATTTGTTTGATTACGGCTTATAAATTATTTATTGTCAAAAATGTATTGTAAAAATCAGTTTAATTAGGTTATGTTAACAATTTTATCGCGTTTAAGCCGGATGTGGTTCAGGACACAAAACAAACAAAAATTTTGAAGATTATTTTATTTATATGATTTTGAGAAAATTGGGTTTTTAAAGTTTTTTAGCGATATTTTCTTAATCCTTCGTTTTAGATAAAAAATGTATACCATCTTTTTTGTGGAAAATTTATTAATCCACAATTTTGATAATACTACATTTTTACCTTCATCAATATTAAATAAGTTATTGGTAAAAAACCGCATTGATGTTTTTTTAGAAACCAAATAAAAATTCATACATTAAGCTTACGTATAGGCCCGTTATGGTTGATTCTACGTAAAAAATGTATAATATCTTTTTTGTAGAAAATTTATTGCTCCACAACTTTTATGTATAACTTTTTAACCTCCGACCAATACCAAGCCAGATATTCGCGAAAAACTGTTCTACTTACTTGCACTGCTACCATAACGGCCAGACCAAAAGTCCAGGATATCTGCTCGTGTGGTGGCCCCACTGGGTTTCCGGCGGAGTCTGTGCCCCAGGCTATGCACCCCATGCAGCCCAGAAAAACCAGGATGGCCGTTCCGCCCACTTCACCCAGAAACAAGACAACCCTGTCCACCGTTGTCATATCGTCGCCGATTTGGATTTTGTTGCCTGAAATGAGTCTTCGTGAGTTTTCGCTTGGTACTGAGGTGCAGTTTTTGATTTAACTGGATCGTTGGAATCTTATCTCGTTTTACTATGTTTATTGTATATATGTGGGTATGCCTATGTCGTGTGGGGTTAGATAAGGTGTTGTAGAGATAAATATCAATATAAAACTATCTACCAAAGAAAATATCAAAACAATCTTATTTATTGGAATTCTACACTCACAGGCAAAATAATCGATCCACACAAATTTTCGATAAATTTCAATAGCAAATAACTTGTTTATTTGAAGTCGGATTTAAACGAATATTAAAGAATATTGTAGATAAATTAATGGACAATCGCTCACATTTTAAAAAATTACTAAAAAATATATTTAAATACGTCTATAGACGTACGTTTATTATATACAGATTTAAACAAAAAGATGTTTTTTACCATAAGTTTAAGACACTCTGTAGAGTGGCAAAACCGTATATTGTTGTAAATTAAGTTTTATTTATCAAGTCACATCTATTCTTAATAGTTTTGTTTTTGGTTGACCTCGATATATTTATTTTTGTGGAAAATATGGATTTTTTAAAAAAACATTGCAATTTCCAATATTTTTCTGTAAGGTTGCTGTGGTTCATCCATAGGCTATGCAGAATGACATTGACAGTTTTGTTAAATCATCCCATACTTGGACATGTCATACACGGCTTTCAAAAGCTATCAAATTGTTTTTTGCAAATTAATGTTTAAATTTTGAGGTGTCTTCTTACTTTAAAAAATGGATATGTCTCCGACTGATGTTGCCAGAGCCATTAATTTAATCCAGGATGGACGGTCACAGTATTACGTGGCAAGTGTTTTAAACGTCACAAGAAGTAAAGTACATAGGGCAACATCAGTCGGAGACATTTTTAAAAGTAAGAAGACACCTCAAAATTTACAAAAAACAATTTGATAGCTTTTGAAAGATGTATATGACATGTCCAAGTATGGGATGATTCAAAAAAACTGTCACTGTCATCCTCCATAGGCTATGGATGGACCATAACAACCTTAATTCTTCATACAGGAAAATATTGGAAATTGCAATGTTTTTTTTAAAAAATCCATATTTTCCACAAAAATAAATAAATCAAGGTGAACCAAAAACAAAACTGTTAAAAATAGATGTGACTTGATAATTAAAACTTAATTTAGAACAATATACGGTTTTTCCACTCTACAGAGTGTCTTAAACTTATGGTAAAAAACATCTTTTTGTTTAAATCTGTATATAATAAACGTACGTCTATTTTTTATTAATTTTTTAAAATGTGAGCGATTGTCCATTAATTTATCTACAATATTCTTTAATATTCGTTTAAATCCGACTTCAAATAAACAAGTTATTTGCGATTGAAATTTATCGAAAATTTGTGTGGATCGATTATTTTGCCTGTGAGTGTAGAATTCCAATAAATAAGATTGTTTTGATAACTTAAAAAATGTTTGGTTTAAACCTGTATTTTATAAACTTACGTGTATTTTTTAAACTTATGGTAAAAAACATCTTTTTGTTTAAATCTGTATATAATAAACGTACGTCTATTTTTTATTAATTTTTTAAAATGTGAGCGATTGTCCATTAATTTATCTACAATATTCTTTAATATTTGTTTAAATCCGAAATCAAATAAAAAAGTTATTTGCGATTGAAATTCATCGAAAATTTGTGTGGATCGATTATTTTGCCTGTGAGTGTAGTTAGAATTTCTAACTTTGGAATCTAAAATCTCAAAATTTTGTACGATATTTAATTTTGTTTTGCGATTTTAACATATTTATTTGTTTTTTTTTCAAGTTGTGGGAGACACATTGACATGAATACAAATTTAGAAACCAGTTCTAAAAATAACTCGCCATATTAAAACGAAATACAAAATTTAAATTTATAATTTTTAACGCCTACTTTAGTATTTTGATATATTAATCGAATACAATAAAATTCGTTTTATATTATAACTTGTTGTCTACGTGGGAAAAATAGGTTATGAAACAATTCAACAATTTAATAATTCCAACAACACTATAAAAAATATAAAACAATTGAATACAAAAAAAATCCAAATGGTTCATTTTAATAACAAATTTCCACAAAGTTGAACCCTAGGGTTGTTATCACCAACATTATAATCCATATACATATTCTGTATATAAGTAGGATTTATAAATAAAATATATTTACGTAACGTGGGGTCGCGACCCCCCCTTGTTATGTAAATTTTCTAGATACCAACTACTGTAAACAAACGCGGTTATCAGCTTTTTTATATTCCCATGATTTATGAGTTTCAAGAATTTTTTTTAATTTATAAGAACATTTATTAATACTTTTATTTACTTATTTATTTTTATTATTAAATATTTAAAATTTATTAAACAATCAGATAGTATCAATGCTTATTTACTTTCGATAAGCAATACACGAACAAATAATTTATAATTGATATTTTCTTTTTTTTTTTATTAAATTTTCTACCATAAACCAATATTTTTCCTTTTTATTATCGAACACAACATAATTAATTGCTTTTAAAAGGAAATTAAATAGACAAATACAAATAACGGTTTTTTACAGATAGATGCAGATAGGTTTACCACACAAACAAAATTTTGTAATAAAAGTAATCAAAAACCAATAGCTTTTTTAATTATTAACTTAACCATGTTCATGAACACAAAATGAATGCTTTACAAAGTCTATATGATGATATTTATTTTCTTAAAGTGTATGAAATTATCTAACTTTTGATGTAGGTAATAATTTTTTTAATTGGGTAGAAAATAACTGAACTACAGACTTCCAAAGTTGCTGTTAATTTTAAGAGAACTCAGTTGACACGATTGTATATTTTGTGTATTATCTCGACAAATTAATGCTCGGCCATACTAAGATATTTACATTTTCTTAAAGTGGATGAAATTACCTAACATTTGATGTAAGTTTTTTATAAATTGGATAAAAAATAAGAAAAATACAGACCCCCAAAGTTTTAAGACAACTAAAATTGACATGACTTTTAATTTTGTGGATTATCTCGAAAAAATAATACCCGGCACATTAAGATATTAACATTTTCTTAAAGAGGATAAAATTATCTACCTTTTGATGTAATTATTTTTTTAATTGGGTACAAAATAACCGAACTACAGACTTCCAAAGTTGCTGTTAATTTTAAGAGAACTCAGTTGACACGATTAAAAAATAAAAAAATTGCAAAAAGTCGAGCAACGTTGTTTTGCACCCAGCTGTATAATTTTTTAATTTTATGCTATATAAGAATACAGATAAGAAATTTAAATTTGGTTTATGCATTTCTGCTTATATGGTTTTAACGTAATAATTTCATTAGTGTTTTCTGCAAATACCTGTTCTTACAAATTTATATACAATTAAAATAAAAAATAATATTTTTGATAAAAAAAATCTAACAAATCGAATTAATAACTGAATGAACTTAACTTTGCACTTTGAAACATTCAAATGTATAAAACCCAAAAGGTCAAAGGACTACTGTACTACACTATAACTTACCTTTAGACATTTTGATGATAATAAAGTCAATAAAACTCAAAAACTAAACAAAAATTGGATCTTGGTCAACAGCACATTTCTTTATACGATACGTCCGTATGCTTTCATCAACAAACAGCTATTGCCCGAACTTACACTCACTGAGCTTGATACTATCAGTGTCAAAAATAGTCCTGATGATTTTCGAATTTTACTTTCGATACTTTGTTGCATTGAGCATTGGCAATACGTTTAACGTATAACTATTAATTTTTAATAACTGCAGAGTACCAGCAACATTAGATCCCACTTAAATGTTAATTAAGTATAGTGTACCATTACCACGTGAATTATTTGTAAATTATACCAACGGATACTTTAATCCGGTTTTATAAAATATTTATTAAATACAGTATGAATTCCTAGAAGGAATTATATCTTAAAAGTAGAACAAATACATTTAAAAAATAGTAAGTTTTAAGTAAGTTTTTAAATGATTTTGGGGGTCAAAGTTTTGAGATTAAAAAATAATGTCCACATTTAATATTTTTTCACTTAGTGTCATGCATGACACTAAGTGGAAGCGTTTTAAAGGTTGAAGTAGAAAATATAATTATAAACATTTTGGCAACTTTATCTATTTCAGACTTTTGACCCTTGCTTCTATTTCTCGTCCTAATAAATTAAATAAATGTATGTTTTTGAAGCTAAAATTTTAGTATGTACATAGAACTAACTAGTCTGGTAAATTAATAGTTTCCTTTATTTGGAGGAATTCTCACATTACATAACTGATGCACCGGTATTTAAGTAAAGAAATTATGGCAATTGATAGCAACGATAAGCTAGGTTTAAGTGCCCCATCCTGTTGACCAATTTATTAATTTTAGACTTTCATTTTCACTTTTTGTCTATTAAAATAAAACCTTTGCGATCTTGAACTGTTACATCTACCTGAGTTAATTTTAGTTTTAATGTGACTACATAGTTTAGAAGGCACGAAAATAAATAAACATAAAGTGAAAATTTAATTTGTTAAAGAGTTTGAGCTTGCAGGGTCATTACAAATAAAATATATTTAAACCGATTAAAAAATTGTAATTTGATAATCCCAAATGTGTTTTTTATCAAAAGTACGTTGGTCCAACTTGCGTGAATGACATTGAAAGTGGTTATCAAATGTATGCACGGATGTGTAATAATATTTCGCAAAAAAAATTTCAAAATAATAAAAGTGTTTTTGTTTAAAAGCTATGAAAATATATACATCACAATTATCCCACTTCTGATACATGGGAGGGGATGCAAAACGCGCACACCGTTTGCGGCACACGTGTTTAGTACGTTTTGTATCATTGCAACTTGCAATTCGCCATTTTCTATAGGGGCAGTGATATAATATTATAATTCTATTATAGGTATTTCTAATATACATTTTGCCGGTTGTGTTTTGTTGTTGCGTGTTGTTTGTACTTTCACAGTGGAGTTGGAATCATTAAAACTCTTTTTAAATAATTGAAATTAATTAATTTGTTTAATGTTTTTGAAGGTAAACTATGTAATAAAAATGTTATGTTAAATCTGATATCAAACAATAAATGTCTTATTTTACATACTATTGGACCAAGAGATATTAGCTCTAAAATCAAATTAAAATGTGGTTAGGTCAATAGTATATGTATATGTATTTGTAGCAAGACAAATTTTCTTTAATGGAAAGTTCCTAAGCTTTTAAATTAAGAGATGCAGTTTTCTTGTTAAAATCACATTTTAATAAAATCTTTTGAATCAAAGTGATTTTTATTTCTTTCAGTGTATTTAAAAAAATTAAACTATTAAAAAATATTTTTTTATTATAATATGTATAAAATTTACCAGGAAATACATTAGGTATCCTAATTATATTTCAATTATTTAGATATGCACGTGAAAAAATACATAAGTAAGTAATTTTTTAAGGTATGATTTTTTTAATGATTTAATTGGGGTATTGTTGTTTTTGCTATAAATTATAAATGAGATAAAATCAAGACAATTTAATTTAAGTACTATAGTTTGGAAAATTATATAGGTAAGTAAATTGTTTATGATATCATAATTCTTGCTTTATAATCTATATTAATATTACTGCAAGTTTATTAATAATAGTAGCAACAGCAAAAGTAAATAATAAAATGTTGTCATTGGCTTTAAATTTTGGTGTGGTCCTGCGTCAACCACTTGAAATTTCATTTTTGGCAAATTATCAAAGACTTCCAAAAATAATATCCAACATGTCTTAATAAATAGTGTTTGTTTTGCTATTGCAACATTAATTTTAAATATATCGAAAATGATTGAATAGAATTTGACTATTTTTTATAGAATCGCCTTTAGAACGCTTTTTAGAACGCGATATGGGTCGTTTTTTCTATAGGCTAAAGAAGTATCGCTATAGCTATAGTAGCGCCACCACTCGGTTATCATCGTAACAGAAGTATAACTTTTAATAATCAGCTGTCAAACGCTTTTGATACAATCGAGTGTTTTTGAGAAAACTTGGAAAATGTTAAAAAATATCGAAAAAAAAACCGTGGCTGGATTTGTTGTGTTGCTTGGTGTATTTCGAGAGGAAATCCTGGGTTGAGTTTTTACAGGTTTTTCAATAAACATTTTTAATCTGAATTACGAAATAAATTGCATACAGACTCTATAAATATAAATTGTACCTATTAGATACAATAAATACACATTTTAGTAGTGATTAACGTGAAAAATGTAAACATTTCAATTCAGTAAAAATCGTCAAACAAATAAGTCGTCTAAATTTAAACAGCATTTAGCATTATTAAAAGCGTTGATTAAGAAAGTCTCCACTCAACGGTAAAATACCATTATATTATGTATTATATATAATATTGTGTTGCAATGAATTCGTAGGTATATTTTGTTGTTTAAAATGCAGTTGTCGGCGTTTTTTAGAGAACTCAAACATAAAAATGGTTGATTTTAAGGTTTTGTTTGTGAAAAAATATTTTTTCTTAATTTCTTAAAAATGTCCAAACTTAAATATAAATTATATTAGGTAAAGTTATCATTAGTTAATTCTGCACCAACAAATGTACTTACCGAATTGAATCCTTTGGCAAAACATGAAAATGCAACGATTTAGTTCCTGAATTTTATTTACAATTAAAAACACAATAAATCACCATAATCCCTTTGATAAAAGTCACACACTAACGTAACTATAGAAGCATTTAAGCGTTGAGTTTCTTAATCAATGATATACATAAGTAATAATCAATCGAAGTATAAAAAGTTTTTTAATTTTTTCCTTGCAACGTAGAACACAAATAACGTGCGCGATTTAGCTGTGCAATTGAACAAAATTTGTCAAGTAAAACTGCCTATTTATTTAAAAATGATGTATAATCTGTGCTTTAAATGTATTGTTAACAATTCTTAAATTCACGCCACCAGATGGCGCTCGCGTAGCGAAAACCCGATACTTCTTTAGCGTATACGTTTATCACATAAAAATGTATATTTCGTCTTAAAAAAAATCGTACTTACTTTTTTCCTCATGTTTCGCTGAGTCAACGGTGATCAATTTGACGTCTTTTGGTGGTTCATTAACTGAAGGAATCACCGAAACCGATATGGCGTTGCCGTTTGTTTGCCTCTCGCCCATGTTTCCGTACCTTTTCCCCTTATAAGTGCCTTCTTGATAGACGCGTCCCTTCTGGATGTTTTCGTGCTGAATTCTGAAGCAATGTCCTTATTTTATTATATTGTTTCTATATTTTTTACGATAAAACGGTAGCAAACAAATGGATTATGTTCTTAAGGTATTATACGTATTAATTGATTTATTTAAGACAAGCTTATCTTAAACTGCAGTTTTTAATACTTGATTAGACAATTTCTATTTTATAAACTAACGTTAAATTGTACATAATCAGTGGACTATGAATTTGGTGAAGTTTCATTTTTATAATTACTACAATTAAAATTCTTGCTTTTATAAAATAAATTTAATTTTCTTGTAGGTACATATTTATCAATTTTTCTATCTCTCCAAAATGAACATGCATAATCATTAAAAGTATAAATAGATGCATTAAAGTTATAAAATCAATACAGCAATAATAATAATGAAAAAAAAACTTACTTTGAATTTAAGTTACACTATCTGATTCCACAGGTGTATGTACTATCACTTATTACTAACGACTTGAAGCATGTAGTATAAAACAAAGCAATTCTTTTAAGTATGGAATCATGCGCAAAATTTCGCGTGTTTAAAATCATTTTTTTATTTATTTTTTATTAGATATTTATGTTTATAACTACCTGTTGCTTGCATGGTACCAATATTTTAGCATAAAAGAGTATTTATTGCTTGAAGAAAAAATTCTTGAAGCTCTTGAAAACAAATACAAAATCTCTTTCAACCAAGTGCAAAGTGTTTTTGTTCAAAAGCTATGAAAATTATTTATATTTACGCAATTCATTCAAGATACATCACAATTATCCCAATAGCATGTCAATTTTCTAACAAAATCTGGTAGCTCTCAAATACATGGAAGGGAATGCAAAACGCGCACACCGTTTACGGCACACGTGCTTAGTACGTTTTGTATCATTGCAACTTGCAATTCGCCATTTTCTAGGGGCAGTGATATAATATTATAATTCTATTATAGGTGTTTCTAATATAAATTTTGCCGGTTGTGTTGTGTTGTGGCGTGTTGTATGTACTTTCACAGTGCAGTTGGAATCATTAAAACGCTTTTTAAATAAATGAAATTTAATTAATTTGTTTAATGTTTTTGAATGTATGGTATTAATTAAAATATGTAATACAAATTTTGTGTTAAATCATATTTATGTTAGTTTATTGGTGTTAGCATAAAAAACTTGCGCTTTTGTTGATATCAAACAATAAATGTCTTAATTTATTTAAATTTTTTTTCAGTGTATAAAAATTTTAAGCATCTTGAAAACGATTTTTATAAAAAATGTTTTTAGCTATCAATAAAAATATTAAATAAAAAATCTTAGACAAAGAAGCTTTTGTTATAAAAAAATATGTCAATACATTTTTTATCAAATTTATAAATATTGCAAAAACCTATCTTTTAAATATGTCAATATTTCAACATTTATATCAACAATTTTAAATCGCAATACTATAGTACCAAAGTAAGTAATTACTACATAATTATTTATTTGACTGATTATTAAAATACTTTTTTTTTGGCAAACGAGCAGTCCATCAATAAAAATTGTGTTGACCTAGTCTATATATAATTGGAAATACATACATACATACATATATTAATAATAAATTGATTAACTGATTTCCTTTTGCGATAAAAAAGTATTGTAATGTAATGTAGGAATTGAATTTTGTACTCGCCCGAACAAATTAAAAATGTTTTTTATTTTATTTTTTTTCACGCTATTCGTGCCATGGATACATATATGTATAGTAATAGGACATACCTTATTATAAGGTAGTTCAAAAATTCTATGGTACCAAGAACGTTTTTTTCAAGGTTGATGTACCATTTTCTCATTCTTTGGTGTTGAATTTTTTTTAGTAATTACGTAGTATATAAGGTTTCTTTATTTTCTGTAGTAAGTGGTAGAAACCCTACAAACTATAACAAAGTAATTAACAATATTTTAATTATTGTATAGGGTTTTATGACCTATGTACTTAATTTATGAAAATTTGGGTATCAGATGACAAAATGATTCCATAACAGTGTTTTGAAAATTGATCTTATGGAATGAATACAGGGTGTTATGAAATTAATGCCAAATTTTTATTTTTTTATTTAGTACAATTTAAAAAAATGGCGGATGCGCCGGGATCAATTTAACGAATCACAATATTAAAATTTAAATATAGCGCCTCTATTATGTACTTTACCGCAATTTTTGAACGATAAAATTGATTTAAGGAATTATAAAAATAACCTGAAAACAGGTGTTAAAAATAACATATTTTAACTTTAACTTAATATTACAATCATAAGATTTTTTAGATTTTATCACTCTTGACAAATATACAGGGGTTATGTAATTAATGTAAAGACTTAAAAAATATTTTCTCAAAGTTAAAGAAAAAATATGGATTAGAAGTTTTTATATTTTCTGTGGTACGCCACTGGGTACACACTTGTGTTCTGTGAGTACGTAGATACCAACCAACACTTTGCGCGTTGCCAGTTGTAAAAAATTGGAACTAAACATTTTTCTTGCAAAAAATTAATAAAAACTCAATAAATGTAAAAGTTTTATGTAAATTAATTCTTAGTTAAGATATTTACAATTTGAGCTCATAACCTAAAATTTGAAAGAAATGCTCTAGATTCTGTCATAAAAGTTGCCAGATTTTGTTTGAATTTACCTTTATTACAAAAACTACGTAATAAAAAATTAATAAAAACGACAAATTAACAATTTGCATTGTTAATTTTGTAATTTTTGTTATTAAGCTAAATTTAAACAAAATCTGGCAACTTTTTTGACGTCAATTGTTTCCAACCAAAACATAATAACCTAGTCGATCAGTGGCGTACTTATTGGTAGGATAAAGGTTATTATAATTTATTTTTATTCTCAATAACATTTTGAAGCAAAACCGAACAAATCCATAAAAGATTTTTAAAAAATAGTGTTATTATTTTCTTTATTTAATTTTCATCTCATTTAATTATTTTTATTTATAAAAAAACATTTGTCATTTTGTCATCCAAACTCAAAAAACAATTTACAAACTCCTAAACAAACACAACTTACCTTTCGGAACAATTTGTTTAAACTGGCAGCGACTTCGATTTTTATTAATTGCTCCGATATCCACAGCTCAATTCCATTCGACGAAATTGAAATGTTAAACTTTTTACTGGTCGTTTATCACTCACCGTGTGTGACAACATAGAATCATTGGTTGATTTTAGTTTATTTGAGTGTATACTGCTCCCAAAAATATTGGGTACAGCTCAAAAATACTAGCAAATATCCGTAAGTAAATTACCCATTTACTAGGTTAAGAAAAATAAAAAAATATATACCTTAACAATACGGATTGGTGCTTAGTTAATTAAAAAATTCCTAATGATATGTTGGGAAAATTGTTGATGGGTAACACAAACTAATTGGATGATGTTTTAATTAATTCCACAAGGGTATATAAGTAAATTGGGAAAAACAGAAAATTGCTAAAGCCACAATTTCCATGAAAAAAATTTGAAGCACACTTTTTTGGTCTAAATTAAGCAATGCAAATTAATAAAAGAAAATTGAACTTTTTGAAAAGTGTAAAAATTATTTATTTATATGTACCAAAAACCATTTTATTTATTTTGCGTTCATAATGACTTCATTATAACACCGCTTTCTATGCTGTAATGAGATACTTAATCCCACCCAAAATTTTGATTTTATAGCTTGGCTATACTTTAAAGTTTAAACAGCATAATATTTTGCATATTGGTTATAATATTTTTCTAGTACTTAAGAGAATTTTCTGGCAATAAATTTTGTTTAACACCAAAGAAAATCCTTTTTTTCTTCTTTAACATTTACAGCCGCTTATTGTAAATAAGTAAATTAAGGACGGCATGGCGAATCGATTTTGACATTAACTGTCAAACCAATGACGTGATACCAACTATCTAAAGTAAAATTCGACCAAATTAAATTTAAGGTAGATATAAAATTCATTTTTTTTAGAATTTTTGCAAAATAGATAAAATAGCATAAAGAACTCACCTTTGACGTCTTATGACATTAGTTCTTTAATATACTATTGTAGAATTAGGTTGGCCATTATAAAAAAACAAAATATAGATTATTTCAAATAATATATCAGCCACTCACCTACGTTTATAAAGTACCTTTAGGTACATTAACAATTCATCGTATAAAAGTTCTTTTTTTTAATTTTAACTTATTATAATAGATTTATTTGCATAATATATTATATCAACCCAATAAAAAAACCTTATTAGTGTTCAACTAATAGATTCAAAAATCAAAACTGGCAAGGACCAATGTAATAAAAATTTTATATATCTATGTATAATATATTAAATATCGAGATCATTTATTCGCAACACAAATTTTTAATATTTATATAGGTTGTTTTTCAATGATATTCATATTATTATACTACCATAACTGTAACAAAAGGTTAAGATCGTTGGTTGTAATAAATAAATCCAGACAACTTAGGTAATGAATTTAAATTAGGTAGCTGAATACTTAAACTATTCAAAATATTTAAAAAAAAAACAGTTAATTAATGTATGTATGTATGCACTTCCTGTATATCATATTATCTACTAATAAGTATCTTCCCATTGCTTGCTTTGTATATTTAATAAATTTTCCAGGATAATGGAATGTAACATGTTTTGAAAAAAAATAAAAACAATATGCATGTAATTACCTATACATTTTAAATAATAGTTAGGTAGGAAGTATATCAACGAAAAATTTAATGTCTTAACTTACTCTACAAAATAAAGGTAATTATTTTTCATAGTAATTCTAATAAACATGTTTTAAATCCCAAAATTTTGTGAAAATATTAATTAATTTTTCAAATAATAATCTTCAACCTTATAAAACTCTAAAAACATTGATTGATAGACAACAATTAAATCACTCATTATTTTCAGCTAAGCAGATCAAAATTTTTTGAAAATTTAAAAAATAAGGGGGAAATAAAAAATAAAAATTATTTGCTGCAAAATCCAATCCAATGATTGGGCAACATTCACGTGTGTTCACATAAAATTTAAATTTCTTTCATATAAATTTTTTTCAATGCGAAGATTATTATCCGCTAAGAATAGTTTGGTCGTAGTCACCCATATTTAACTACTTTTTTATATGATTTTACTCATCCATGCACCACCAAAGCCAAATTAATTCATTTTTAACTACGAATTTTGACAATACAACTTGACTCAATAATAATAAAAAAAGGAAAGGGTAAAAAAATTAACAAAAGAAATAAATCCCAATAAAATCCAAATTACGACCATTAACCCATTAAAACAAATTTTAATGCAAAAAAAACAGCACGAAACAATTTAACTTATATTACCTATTTATATATTTCCGAAACATACCTTTTATAGATATAATGCCTAAATAATGGTTCCCATAAATTAGTTCGTTACACGCACAAAATCAAATAAATGACCGAAAAAAATTATTCAAATGTTTTTCGTGATGTTGTGCAAAACAAAAACAGATCACCACTGAAGTAACCTACACGATGTTCACTCGTTTTATACCCTTGATATTTGCGACTCGCTATATTTCTTTACCCTTAGTATTGTTCTACTGTCAATAATTGTTCAAGGTGGATATCACAATTTTTATTAATTGATATATAATGGATTAAATGTATTTCTAATTTTATTTTTTAAAGCCTTTAAGTTCACTGATTTTTTCGAAATCTTTTAAAAAAATTCACAATATTTTCAAGGATGATTTACACAATATTTTATTTTTTTCTTATTATAATAAAATAAATAATATTTTATGGTAACTTAAGTCTTTCCTAAAATAGTGTGGTTTGAATTTTTGAGTGGGTGCCCATCATAATTATTAATTTAAAAAATCCATGGGCATTGCAAGGTGGAAATTGTTGTAAATTATTGCAAATGAGACTTTTATAGTATTTTAGTTAATTGCAGGGCCGGATTTACCTATAAGCAACTGTCTGTCTCTTGATAAAAAATTATTAGCGGCAGAAAACAATATTTTAGCAAAAAAATGTATTTATTGCTTGAAGAAAAAAGTTCTTAGTGGATAGTTATCTTGAAAACAAATACAAAATCTCTTGAATGTTTCTTCTTTCAAAAAAATTTTTTTGATTCCTCCAATTTTTTTTATATTTTTTAGTAGAGGAAGTGGGGGTAATTCGGAATACTGTTGGTAATTTGGAATACTTAAATATTGAAGCTATGCTTAGCGCCATCTCGTTAAATATAAAATAAACTACTAGAATAGCCTGTATTTTGTGGACATGTGATTTTGTAGATATTTTGATTTATGGTAGAGGGCCAACACATGTGAAAAATTAATTGTGGGGCAACTAAAACTTTTTTAGTGGTAATTAAATCGGCAATCATAGTTTCGATTTTTATCTTTAAATTAACTTAAATTGTATCCTCAGGTAAGTAAAGGGTTATATTTTTAGTTGTTAATTGTACTTTTTCGATATGTTAAAGCATTTACTTTTTTTTACATATTATGGCGTAGGTCTTTATATTGCTAATTTGGAATACTATAAATAATGCAAAATTGAAATATTCCAAATTACCTATATTAATTTTTTGTAATATTTGATAATCAATCCAATTTTCTCTTTTAATTTATATTTGGTTACCTTTTAAAAATGTTTTATTAACCTTTTTAATAAAAAACCTTGGCTGCTACTTTAAAATATTCCAAATTGGTGGTATTCCAAATTAACTTCATGTTATGTAAACAGAGATTTTTTACACTTTTTTTTTCATTAGTAAAAAAATCCTTTTAAAGTATTTTAAATAGTTTAAAATTTTCGTATGGCATAGTACAAATGTAGATCTTGGACATGTTATTTATTTTAATCAAAATAATTTAAATTTAAATTTTTTGCTATTTTTTTTTAAACTACTATTCCAAAATACCCTCACTTCCTCTAATCCTTGAAAGAGCTTTCTAAGTAAATTTTGAGATTTTTTTGATCACGGGTTCAAAACATCAAATTTTCAAAATAAAAAAAAAATCTGTAAAAAATTTGAAAAAAAAATAGTAATTATGGAAGGCCCACTACCGGACCAGGCTGAATAGTTGTTGAATAGATAGAAGTTGAAAATAAAAATTTTTCGCGAAAATCGAACACATTTTTAAAAACACGATTTAAACTTAAACACTCAAAAATCTTGACTTAAAACGCTTTAAATATTTTCAATATATTTTTTATATTTTATATGGAATGAACATTTTGATTTGGACCATTTTTTAAGAAGTTATGAGCGAAAAAGCAGTTTTTTTTAAAAATTTCATGTTTTGAAGCCGTGATCAAAAAAATCTCAATATTTACTGAGAAAGCTCTTTCAAGGAGTACTAAAAAATATAAAAAATTGGAGGAATCAAAAAAAAAATTTTTTAAACCATAGATTTGGCGTGGAATGCCCCATATGCTTTTGTAGCAAAACAAATTTTCTTTCTTAGAAAGTTCCTAAGCTTTTCAATTAAGAGATGCAGTTTTCTTGTTAAAATCCTATTTTTTTGCGCAAAAAAAAAATTCTTCATTCATCTTTCGAATAAATATTTTTGGTTCTTGTACCAAGAAATCGATTTATTTTAACTCCCCAACTGACAACTCACTTAAATCAAAATGAAGTTGACGTTTTTCCAACCATCGGCCCGTCGAAAAGATGTCACCAAAACATTGAAAAATTCCCTGTGTTAATGACCCAACACATCACCAAACTGCTGAAACGTATACCCTGGTTCAGACTAGCCACCAACAACGAGATTCCAAAGCCCAAACCTTTGAAATGGGCCAGCATTAAAAGAATGCTGATCCACAGACCAGTCCTCTTCGGAGTGCCCACAACGGTGGCTAAAGTGTACACGGAGATCTCCAACTACGATGTGGAGGAAAACATCGCCCATCTGATGACCATGGCAAGAATCGCTTTGGAGAAAGGCGATCTGGAGAGAGCCGAAGCTATTTTACTGATGGGCATCAAAATCTCAGAAGAGTATAAAAGTTACGCTGTGCTGCCGTATATGTACGACATTTTGGCCTCCATTGCCTTTGCTACGGGGAATTTGAGAAAGGCAGAGACTTTGCTGGTGAACGCCATAGAGAAGTTGGTACATTTAGGTAAGATTCATTTCAGATTTCAGAAGTTTACTTAAAGGTTCTATAATAAAACTTTTAAGGGCAAAACCACAATCCACACAACCAGGTCTGTTCTATCTCGTACTAAAAAATACAAAAAATCACTGCAACACTGCACAGTTTAACGGCGGCCATTTTTGTTGTTTACAATTTTTGTGCTTTGGGTTTATACAGATTAATAATCGTTTTAAACGTTGTTTACTCATAGTAAGCCTTAAAAGAGTCCTTAAAGTGCTAAGAACAACCATTTTACTCCTCTATTGTAAAAAATAAACTTTATTCTATCAGGGCTGTCATAAAACTGTCAATTTTAAGGTTAAATTATAACCCACAAATTAACCTTCAAATTGTCATTTGACAGCCCTGATAGAATAAGGTATATTATTATTAAGAGGAGTAAAATGGTTGTCCTTGGCACTTAAAGGCCTTATTTGAGGCTTACAAGTGCCTCTGTAAGAAGCCCAACGTTTAAAACAATTATTAAACAGCACAAACCCAAAGCACAAGAATTGTAAACAACAAAAATGGCCGCCGTTAAACTCTGTGCAGTGTTGCAGTGATTTTTAGTATTTTTAGCATGAGATAGAACAGACCTTGTGTGGATTGTGGGCAAAACTTCATTTCGTCAACATGACAACCTACAATAATTTAAACAAAACCACAATTACATTTATAACTGGTTTAGTTTCTTTTTAATCAATGCAACCAATTTTGCTTCCGTATTTACCAACCAAACGTTGTCAAGATTAAAAACATCTTTATACAGGGGTTCCAGAAAATGACAACCAAGTGGTGGACTTCAAACTTCGTCTGGCACGTATATACAGCGCCTACAACGAACTGGAACTGGCGGAAATAGGTTTCAAAAGTTGTTTGGACGAACAGAAAGACAAAATTGAAGGAGGTGATACCACTACAAGAACTGGATTGTTGTATATCAATTGTATGTTTTGGTATGGACTGCACAAGGTCAAAAAATCCAAATACAAAGGTATAACTCTTTTTTTAACTTTTTTAACTCTTTTTTAAATTCTTCTTTACCTCTTTTTTTACTTTTTTTAAACTCTTTTTTTTTAACTCCTATAAGAAATGTTCATCATCTATTTTTTCTAACGTTCATGTTTAGAAGCCAAAGATTTGATTAATTCGGCCTATGATTACTCCATAAAAATAAAAGGTTTGAGTCCCTATCAGGAAATGGTTATACTGTATACACTGGGAGACCTAAATATGGAGTTGGGCGAATATAATTTGGCCCTACAAAATTTACAGAGTGCCATTTTGATGGGCAAAGGAATTGGAAGTCTGGATTTGCCTAGGTAAATAAAAAATATTCCATATCCCATATTTCATTTATATTCAATCTTTAATCAAATATGCATACATATTTTTGAAGGAAATTGAATGCTCTACAAAAAAGCACTGATGTGTTTAAGCGATTATTCTAACCATTTAAAAGATATTCAAGATCAAAGTTTGAAGAATTTATTAAAACAATTTTTTTTAATAATTTTGTAACCCATTGAAAAATAATTATTGTCAAATGACCATGACATATTTTTGAAGGAAATTTGACGCTCTACAAAAAAGGTCTGATGTGTTTAATTGGTAACTCTAACCGATGAGAAGATATTCATTCAGTACCTACGCATTATGATTTGGAAATGGGAAATTTGTTTAATAAATTCTTCAAACTTTGATCTTGAATATCTTTTAAATGGTTAGAGAAATCGCTTAAACACCTCTGTCCTTTTTTGTAGAACATTCAATTTCCTACAAAAATATGTATACATATTTAATTAAATTCAATTTGATTAAGATTGGATATACAATAAAAAGGCATTTTTTTGTTCAAGATGTTACCTAAAAGTAGCAAAAATATACACAAAAATGGACGCATGGGACACAGCGAAAATTTCCGCTAAAGAAGCCCTAAGACTGGGCAAGTTATTCAATGATGAACTTTTATGTGTAGAAGCTGACAATTTGTTGATGATTATCGATGATAATTTGACGTTGAAAAAGAAACAATAAGTATAATTTTATTTTTTTATATATTTCCCGCATTGTACAAAAATAAAAACATAAATATTTACACCTTATCTCTTAGTTTGTTCTTTTTGTGAAAGTAAGTAAAATGGGGCCGTCTGGTTTGTTAATAAGCAAAGATTTTGAGTCTAAAGCTGAGCTGTTCCATTGTATATGGTAGTTTCTAATCAACTAAAAATAAAACACTCTGTAAATTATCCTTAATTTTAACTAAAAAATATATAAATACCTTTAAAACAATAACCAACATATTTTGCTCTGCTAGCCTTCTAGCAATACAACTCCTAGGCCCATGCCCGAAAGGTAGCACCAAAAAAGGGTCGTGTTTTTTGTACAAAGGGTGGTCTTTCAACCACCTTTCAGGTTTAAATTCGTATGGGTCGTTAAAGTGTTCACCCAATCGGGAAATAACTTGGTTTTGACTCACCACAACAGTCTAAAAAAAGTTATTGTGATTTTTGCTGTTAACTTGGAAACGGTTGACTTAAGAAAAAAAAAGTTAAAAACTTTTTTGTAGAGAATTAAACCCTCAACAAAAAATTATTATACGCCGAATCTCTAAAATCAATTTTTTAAGAGTTATATTAACTTAAGTCATCAAATGAAAAAAAAAAAGTTGACTTTAAGTCCATATATATCCTAAAATATTAATTTTAGAGACTTTTTAGAGACCTATATAACGTTTTTTGTAAAGAACGAAATTTACTAAAAAAAATTATTATAACTTTTTTCTCTAAAGTCAACCAAGTCAACAGAAAAACCCTATTTAACGTCCTCTTACCCCTTTGGGTACATAATATTGTGATTTTTGCTGATAATTTGGAAACAGTTGACTTAAGAAAAAAAAAGTTAAACACTTTTTTGTAGAGAATTAATCACTTAACAAAAAATTTCATTTACGCCGAATCTCTAAAATCAATATTTTAAGAGTTATATAAACTTAAGTCATCAAATTAAAAAAAAAATTGGTAACTTTAAAAAAAATGTTATTAACTTTTTTCTCTAAAGTCAACCAAGTCAACAGAAAACCCTATTTAACGTCCTCTTACCCCTTTGGGTACATAATATTGTGATTTTTGCTGATAATTTGAAAACAGTTGACTTAAGAAAAAAAACTTTTTTGTAGAAAATTACACCCTTAACAAAAAATGTCATATACCCCGAATCTCTAAAATCAATATTTTAAGAGTTATGTATATAAACTTAAGTCATCAAATGAAAAAAAAAAGTTGATGACTTTAAGTCCATATAGGTATATCCTAAAATATTAATTTTAGAGACTCCACCTATATAACCTTTTTTGTAGAGGACGAAAGTTACTAAAAAAAGTATATAAACTTTTTTCTCTAAAGTGAACCAAGTTAACAGAAAACCCCTCTTACCCCTTTGGGTACATGATACCCGCTAAACTCGGCATCACTGTGCAAAACCCTGCCTACTCCGACGGAAATAGGCCTTAACCTCAAAGTTTCCTTTAATACTGCTTTGGCATAAAAAGCTTCCTGTAAAACTTCCTTTGTAACTTTGCTGTACGTATTTGGCAGCAATTTTCTGCTTTCCTGGTACAACGTCGATTGTACGCACTGAGATTTAGCAAGGTGGTACAGCATGAAGCTGGAGGTATAGCTAGTCTAAAAATAACCGTCTAAAATGTCTTAAAAATTTGCTAAAACTGTTTTTAGGAAAACGTCAAAAATTTGATACTTTTTTCGTGTTTCCCTGTATTATATTTTTGTTTTTTCTTACCGTGTCTATTCCGGCCAATATAAAATCGCAAGCCATTCCTATAATATCCTTAAAATCTAGCTCCGGTGAAGCTAGATAGCTTTCTAGTAGGGTTAGAGGTTTGTTTCTATCCCTATCATGAAATAAGGACATTTGGAGGGATAGTAAGTCTATAGCAACACTGAAAATAATTTAAAAAATATTTTTCCAAAGTGGATAAAATTATCTAACATTTGATATAATTATTTTCAAAATTAGGCAAAAAATAACCCAACTACAGACTACCAAAGTTGGTCCTAATTTTAAGACAACTAAAATTGACAAGACTTTAAATTTTGCAGAAAATCTCGAAAAATTAGTATTGGGCATATAAAGATATATACATTTTCTTAAATTCGATAAAATTCTCTAACATTTGATATAATTATTTTCAAAATTAGGCAAAAAATAACAAAAGTACAGACTCCCAAAGTTGGCCCTAATTTTAAGACAACTAAAATTGACAAGACTTTAAATTTTGCAGAAAATCTCGAAAAATTAGTATTGGGCTATAAAGATATTTACATTTTCTTTAAGTGTATAAAATTATCCTGACTTAATACTTACTCTTCCATGTATTCTTGAGATTTTTTTAACTTCCTATACAGAGGAGTATCGATTTTTTTCCACAACTGAGGCCCATTGTCAGTTTTCAGTATGCAACTGTTTGTTGTCAAGGCCGCCCTCATAAGCCTGCTGGATCTTGAATAATACTTCCTCTCCTGCCTCGAAAAACTGTTTAACCTCAAGTCCAAAACCGTCATTACAATTACTAAAATATAAACGTTTTATAGGGTTTTTAGGGATATATCAGTTGTATTAGTTGACATTTCACCTAAATAAACATACATTCTAAAAATAACCTCGATAATTCCGGTAAAAAATCCTCATTTTCATTCACTACGTTCATGATGTTCGACAACCATTCCTGAACAATATCGTCCGTAGAATTCAGAAAATTTTCCACCGATTGTGGACTACTCAACCCCTTCTGAAACACACTCCTAATTCTCATCCATTCCGCCCCATTTCTACAAGACAAAAAAAATATTTAAACATAAACATAAAGAAAAAAATTACGTTGGCAACAATCCTCCGGAATTATAAACATTAGGTCTGTCCAATCTGTACTTTTCAAGCGCCAAATGGCTTCTACGTTGAGGATATTTGCCTTCATAACGAAACATCGCTTCAATATCCCTGGGGTTAAATAACCATACTATATTAACCCCTGGAACGATTTCTTCTTTTATTACGCTCCCGAACGCCTTCAATTTCTTAAAACCGTTGTGGTGAAGCTCGCTGAACTTATAATTACCTAAAAAAAAATAACATAACCTCACTTTTAAGATTTTTGTTATTTCTGCTATAAATACCAATTCCTGGTAAATATTGGTATATAGTTCCTATTCCCGGTAACGCATATGGGCCTGGTATACTGTCAAAACTCATGGAATAATGTTTATCGACAACAATAGCATTTTTTCGTAGAAATTTGTAAAACTTGTTATTTCCTCCATTTCCCATTAGTTTATTCATGGTTTTAAAACTTAACAACTAAATTAACTTAAATATATGCTAAAACATTAAAGTAGTTAAAATAATTTAAAACAAAAATAAAAAATAAATTGTAGGTTAAAATTTTGTTGACATGTCAAAATATTACAGGGATCTGTATTTTTTACGTTCTTGATTTGGTTGTTGATTAAAATGACGCTAGAGGCCGCGCAATACAAAATTAAAATTTATTGAATAATTTATTGAAAGTGGTTTTTAATTTAATAAATGCTAGTACTAAATTGGGTAGAAAGTTTATATGGATATAATAATTATTTTTATTTACTTATTTAATAAGATATACTTACTTTATTATTGTTTCAGGATACAAAATTACAGTTTTAAGCCTAGGACAGGGATAAGAAAATTGTTTGTGGTTTTAAAAGTTTTAAGAATTAAAATTATCTAATTTTAATTTTCGAGGATAATAATTAAGTTAATTCACTCACTAAATAAAGTTTTAAGTTATTATTAAATCACTTAAAAAACTTCTTTGATATATAATATTGACACAATTTTATATTTTGCGAATTATCTTAAAAAATTGTATTTGGGCATATAAAGATATTTACATTTTTCCAATGTGGATAAAATTACTAACATTTGAAATAATTATTTTAAAAATTACGCAATAAATAACAAAACTACAGATTGCCAAAGTAGATCTTAATATTAGGAGACCAAAATTTACGGCAATATTTAAATTTTCTGTTTTTAGGTCATTTGTTTGTCTGTGCATTGTTGTCAAACCGTCCGAAAAATTGATATTAATACTATTCCATTATTTTTGTTTTTTTTTAGGTTGGTAATGGGCATTCAGACAAACACGAATAAATCACAGTTTATTTGGATTTATAGAGCGGTTTTTCCAACAAATTTGCTTGTCAGACTAACAAGTAAATCTCTGGGTTAAAAACAAGATTTTTTTAGTTGTAAAATGCTAATAGGTTTTAAAATTAAACAGTATTTTATTTATTGTGAAGTACTAAAAAATAATTAAATTAAGTAATTAAATTTAAAAAGTTATGATTGTTCGACTTTTTTCACATAATATAAATGTAAAATTTATTCCTTTGAAAACATGTATAATACTCAGAATTTAAAAGCCTGAAACATTTTTGTCAATTGTTTAACGTATCAGATTCTCATTATTTGTTTTTCGTGGAGTAGCAGGCTTTGAAAAGCTTTTGTTTTGTGAAAACAATGGAAGTTAAGTGGTGAAATGTTATGTGTATAAATGTCTAAAGTTACTAGAGTTTATAAACACGCGTATCTATTATACGTAGGTATACAAACAGGTGGTATGTGTATAGTTCTGTATCTGTATTATTACACATTTATCTGTACATATTTATATAACTGTCTAATAATAATGAATATAAAAAGTTTTTGTTTTTATTTTAATTTGTTAAGCTGTCAAAGTTAAAATAAAAAAGTCAAGGAAAACTCGATAGTTGTAAAATACACGTGTTACGTTATTGGTTTAAAAGTTTTTAACTTTTAAAAATACCATTTTACAATTGATTCGATTTTAAAGTGACACAATAAGCGCATTGTGCGGCTTCAAATACCAAACAGTTTTTAACTTTTGAAATTTTTTTGAATTAATCAAATTTTAACAGGCGATGGACGTGACGTCACAGCTTACAGGCGTAATGTAAGCTGTAGATGCAAATTGGACAATTGAAAACTGCCCTTACATTTAATTTATTTAAATTGCATTCCACAGTGGTTCAAAATTAAAAGATAGTGGGAAAATTTCGCACAGTGGCATTCATTTAAAAAATGATCGGACAAATTCGCACAGTGGGAAAAATTTTAAAAATGGTGGGACAAATTCGCACAGTGGGATAAATTAAAAAAATGGTGGGACAGATTTTCAAATTTTTTTTATGTTTCCAAAATTTTTTAATTTTTGAGGTATTTATTTAAAAAAAATTGACTGATGGAGTAACTAATTTAAATGTCTGTAATACCATCAATTTACATTGTTTTCAGATGTAACATAAATATACTGTCCCAACGTCATAATATGACAGAAAAGAGTTGTTTAATCAATAAAAAACGGGTTTTCATTTTATTTTTTATAGGTAGACATTCGTGAAATATTTCAGCTTTAACTAGCCAAACAAAAAAAACGAAACAAAGGAGAGCAAAAACAATTGTTTTTATTCGTATTTCTACAATTTATGAAAGGGATTTAGAATTTTATATAAATCATTTTCTTTAACAAAATGCCCATTTATCAACTTGAATATGCCCTGTTTTATTTTTTATTTACTAAAATATGTAATAAAAGAATATCTTAAAGAAAAAATAAAAAGTTTTGTGTAGGTAACAAAAAATAGAAATCACTTTAAAATGTTTTGGTCAGACTTCGGACCTTTCCAGAAACTTTTAGTTCAACATGCGCATCAAATTGCCAACACAAGAACTTTATTTGTAACCAGAAGTTTAGGGAGTCCGATAAAAAGTCTACAAACAGAATTTTACTTATCTTTTTGCCGAATTGACTTTTAGAGGGCCCAAAATTTCCCACTGCAAAATTTTGCTGTAATTACGGCCATCAAAAGACTTTTTAATAACAGTGAAAAGTTTGTTAAATTAATTAGGATTTTCCAGGGATTGGGAAATTGTTTTTATCGATTTTTATTTCTTTATTTTCCCCGAAAGCAATTTTATTTCTTGACCGGTCTATAAATAAAAATAAAATGAACTGGCGATTTCTGATGAGTAAAGTAAACAAGAAAATAAACGTGTTGTGCTTACAAAAATCGGCTTGCTATTTATATTTCAACTGCGAAAACGATTTTATTTCTTTTCAGAATATTATTCAATAGGTGCACTTTATCATTTAGTAATGCAAAAAAACTGTTAAATTTAAAATCTACTTCATTTTTCAAAAAAAAAAATGTAAATTAAAAGTTGCCTCTACTGTCCATATACCTATGTAAGAATTTTGAAAAAAAATGAAATGTTAAAATATTTTTTTTTATTTCGTATAAATTAAGACCTTAATTTAAATTGTCAAAATTTGTCTCTTATATATGTTAATGTTTCCCTAATTTCTCCCTTGGAAACACACTGTATATTGAGTCTAGACATTTGTCTGACAAACGATGAAATTAAAAAAAATACACACTAGATTGTTTTCTTTGTTGTACAATCTCATTACAGCATCATTCTTTATCCCATAATCGCATTATCCCTGGAAAGCTGGAAAGGTCTAAATTTGAATTTAAGCAGGCTTCTAAATCAAGTTTATCAAGGGTTGCTTTGTTTTCATAAACAACATTGATGTAAATTCCCTGTATACAGGGAATTATGTAATTAATGTAAAATATTAAAATGGGTAGCTCCTTTTTTTCAGCGTTTCCAGATTCTGTCTGTTGCCGGATTTTGTTTAAATTCAGCTTAATTACAAAAATGACTAAATCAACAATGAAAATTGTTAATTTGGCGTTTTTATTAATTGTTGAGTATGTCATTTTTGTAATTAAGTTAAATTCAAACAAAATCTGTCAAATTTTAGGTTATGTGCTCAAATTGTAAATATCAATGTCAAAAGGCATTCAGTATTTTAATATAGGTATTACATTGATTATATAACACCCTGTATATTATTAAATATTTAGACATTTCTTACAAAGTGTATTTTTTAAATTTTATATCGTTCCAAAATCTGGCAATAGAAAGTATACAGAACACAAAAACAAATATATCGGAAAGCATTAATAAAAATTAAAGTCGACAAGGTTTTATTAATAGGATTATTTTCCAATTAATTTTGTATTGTCATTTTGTAAAGAAGCTTAGACTGATTAATAATTTTCTGTGCTTTACTCCACTGTTCTATAGATCTAAATTGAGCCTAATTTTGAATAACTTTTTCTTTAATTAAGTTTCATTTAGATTCCAGACTTTTTAACTTATAAATCCTTTATATAACTGAACATTCAATAAAATTTAAAATTAATCTTTTGATTGGGTTTTCATGAATTTCATAGAAGTATATATACACTGAAAAAAAGTTCTTAGAGGAAGAAGTATAGTTCTCTTGAAAACAAACACAAAATCTCTTCTTTCAACCAAGTGCAGTGTTTTTGTTTAAAAGCTATTATTCATTCAAGATAATCATTATTCATTCAAGATCACAATTATCCCAATAGCATTTCAATTTTCCAACAAACTCTTGTAGCTTCTGATACATGGGGTGCAAAATCTCTCCGCTCAAGTAATTTAAAAAAAAATGTATGTAAACATAGCTCTTGGTCCTATTCAAAAGCTCAAACCTTTTAAGAGATTATTTTTTTCAGTGTACTTCTATAAAATTCATATATGTTTCCAAACTTAATTAAAGTCTCCGGCATCTAGAGGCCATGTTTTCTGCACACGCACTCTCAATTGTCTTCGATGAAGCGGGCGGTAACCATGGTAATATGGGTCATTCTTCTCATAAACCTTGACAGTGTCTCGCAGCCTATAAGCGTGTAAGATGAAAAATTTGCAAATATTTTTAGTAGGTACTCACAAAATATTAATGAACATTGATGACACAAACTGTATAAATACCTTTGCACATTAATTACTAATAAAACAGAGCAGAGTTTTGGATAATTCCCCAATGCGCTTTTTGGAGTCACTGAACCGTATATCTGTTAATTCCTGTAATAAAGTTAACAAACTAGCGAAACGTTTCAGTTTGCTCCCTTAGTGCTTATAAGCTAATGTTGCCTGTCTCAGTACTTACTACGAAATGCTTGTTTTATCCTGTAGAGTCATGCTTGACAACAAATTGAAAGCAAAAAATACACTGCAAAGTCTAAAACTTGGCGATATTTCTACATATCATATCAATCTTGATATGATATTTTTTTATTTTTTTTTTGAGTAAGTAGTAATCAGATAATATCAAATAGTAATTATTTCTATGATAAGTTAGGCCACTATTAGCTCAGAAACAAAATGCAATTGCATATAGATTTCATTATTTACCTAATTTAAATACATAATGGTTTACATATGCATTTGGTATGTTCGAGACTAAAGTTGGCTTCTTTTTTAAACTTTTTTTTAGAGTGATAAAATTTCATAATTTATATAATTTTGAATTTTTGTTAAAAGTAATACCTAGGCATTTTTTATATATATTTTTGCT